CCGATCATCATGGGCAACGGTCGTCGGAGATCGCGACAAGCGGATACTCAATCGAGACGTTCAAATAGACGTCGAGCGAAAATGATCTATTGCGAAGCCGCCGCTGAGGGACGTGTCTCATACTACATATGTATGTATGTATCTTCCGAATCGAGCTAGCGGTCAAGATGGAACTTCGGCGCTGGGATCACGATACGACTTTCGATGGGCGACTCCGAAGTTGCGGAGTGGCCGGCCGTGAAAAGGTCAATGTCACCAATTCTGGACGGAGGCGCTCCCTTCGGATCACCACGATAGAGAAAGAGAGAAACGCCGGTGGATCAATTCACTCCGGGAAGCGTACACCAGCTCCACGACACCGACTCGGAGATTCACGGGGACGGCTGCCTTCGGCTGTCGGACGGCATCGTGTCGCTGCCTCTTGGACGAATCTCATGCCAGAAAATAAACAAGACTCCGATTCGCCATCGGAAAATAATTCAGTCCGTGACGAACGAAGTGTTTCCGTTCCCGGGAAATATGCAGGGGCATCAATCACAAGCGTCTGAGGATATTCCCATGTTGGAAATCGCTTGTTCGAATCGCGGCGAGGCTCAACTCTCCAGTGGAAATCATGAGCTCGGCCGGGCTGCTTGGCGAAAAAAGATACGTTCCGATTCTCCAGATTCGCGGGAAGGATACGCGCTCTTTGTGTCTAGCAGAAGAGACTTCTCGGGAGATGCGGCAGATTTTCTGAAAAAGAGCAAAGTTCTCCAAGGTACCGCTGTCTCAATGGCGTTCTTCCACGAGCCTTGACCTACGATTGTCGCTCGGTAAGCCGGCTAACTGATTGTGAGTCTTAATAATCATGCGATGACATTGTCGTAGGAGAAGTGACTGCTGCAACTTCTAATCATCGCACCAATCACGCTAAACGCCTGCAATGCGGTATGGGAGGGACGCGAGACATTCTGCTGAAGGGAGCATTCATTCCGCTCATGACCGGAATCAATCTGCTGATAGTCTCGAATTTTGATTGAGAATATTCAACAATATTCCTGACTCTGATGGGTGTGTACTATTTTTTGTGGAGATAGCCGCTCGTATATCGGGAACATACGACGTATAACGTGGTAGGAGAGCGATTGGATATGTCATTCATGAGGATCGCATGCAACTGCAAAATGAAATATTGCGAAAGTCGCCCTTCCCATGTACATGATGCGGCCCTGGAGGCCTCTAAGCTCTCCCTTAGCATTTCTATTTCCATCTACTCACCTACCTACTAAGCTCCTGGAATCACTCCGCTGTTCCTAAAAAGCAGCGGCTCGCAAGATCGAGTTCATTTCCGTAGAGGGCGTCGAGAAGCTCAATGTCGATTGTTTGGCTCTCGGCTCTCGCGGTGATATCGAGTCGTATGCTTTGATGCCGCCTTGGAACGCGTTCTAAAAGCGGAAACGAGGCTTCGAGGGGAAAAGACTTCTCGATGATTCGTGTTAACGTCACCGATCCACAGAAAGAAAGATTCCCATCGTTTCGCTGCCGGTCGTGGTTACCGCTATTCTTTCTTCGATTCTTGAGTATATTCTGTGTGTCTGGAATCCCTGACCGCGGGAGGATCAGAGCCGCTGCAACGGCCATCACCGCAATAGACCTCGACCGCGAGTCGGTCGACGCCAGGCTCCTGCGGATAGTCGCGCTCACTTTGAATTACTCTCGACAATCGCTGTGATGATTCCAGATGTATCGGTAGGTGTGCGAACACGCATCATGCAACACACGGAACCCCGGCGCGGAGAGCGAGGCTATGGCCTATTTCGGGAGACGGAAACGCGAGGCTTCTACCCATGTCGTCCTTAACACAGCTCTTACGAAGGATAAATAATTCGCCGTTGCCGAATGAAATAAGCTCTCGAGCGGGTTTCCACAGGAGCCGCACTTGAGCTCCTCTATTGCTGTCCTCGGGAGCGTTGAACGAGGAAAGACTCGGGCTCTGGCAATCGCTCGACTTCCTCGGCAACGAGACAGAGACCGCATTCTTCCCGATATCTGAGTTTGGACGATGGAGCTTCGACCCGTGCGGATGTCTCGGGCCCTCAGCACCTCCGTTCGTTCCTGCTTTTTTGGCCGCCTGCCTTCGCCATCAGCCGCCATTGCGGGACAGAACCTCGTTTCCGTGGACGATTAGGACGCATCGATTTGATCCGCGACGGCTAATGCCATTGGGCGAGTCCCTTTCCAGTCCCTGCGATGATTCTTCTGATCAATGGTCTTATCGTGCCCGTGCGTGAATTTGGGTGCTCCATATCGACAAACAGAAGATAAATCTCCGAAGTGCGTTCTCGACTACCGTATATCGAATCTAGGTCCAGCTGAAATCCTTCCAAGTTTTTCTCTTGTCGTTCCGCATGCACACCGTTATCGAAACAGAATCTGTCGCTTACACGGTCTTCCTGACGGCCTCTGGAATGGCCAACGATGGCCGGAGCTTCGTGGTGTTATGCCACATCCTACAGAGTCCTCTGAAACGTGATGACATTTCGAAGGTCTCGGAGCTGCGCCGTAACGATGTCTCCCTTTCGGGTTGCACGGAGTCATGATAGTTCAAACGGGCAGCGTTGGAAAACGATGAGGGCAATATCGAGAAGACGGACCGCACAGCCACCTTGGCGAACTTCGATTTCCGTCAGTGCTACGCTCTGTCATCTTCGGAAGAGCTTAACCGCATTCAGAATCCGAACGGTTCTCCAGCGCCTTCCTTAGACGTGATGTCTAGCGGTCGGTGCGTATCTGCTTTCGGAGTTTCTGGTCTGGTTTGTTCACCTTCTGGGGTCGATCTCCCGCGCAGACTACAATGTAGCAGGCAGATAGGCAAGCTGTGCCGCGGACCGGCGAACGGATGGATGGTAATATTCTGACTGGCCTTCACCCGATACCGGGTCATTTTCTGCGAGAAAAAGATGTGTGAGAGAAAGTTCATGTGAGCTGGTACCGAAAGTACTTTTCTTTTCGCCGTGACCCGATAAAGAAAGGGGACGTCTCTGCTTGCATCCGTATCGCTACACATTGACCTAATGTCGCTCGACGGTATTGCCCTGGACTTTCCATCTGAGTGTACAAGAGCTTCGTGAAGACAGTTTCTCTATCGCTTGAACATTGCCTGGCTCAGAACCGACTGATGCCGCAATCCGATGGCCTGCTAGCCAATGAGAGGTTGGAGTCAATCTTGCATGGAGCTACTAGAGAGGTGGCGGGAAGGCCAGCCGTCCGCAGTTCGAGCATCTATCAGGTATCTCTAGTTAAAGACGGCCGATGATAAGCTCTGGGTCGATGAGAGGTCAAGAGACAGAACATCTCCCTGATTCGGGAAAATTGGCATTCCATGGAGACGAAAGTCCCACGAAATCCTCCAGAGCGAGACGTTTCTATGCGAGTCAATTGTTGAAGTTCTCATTTGGAAAGACGTCAAAGGGCTCTAGAAGCGTCGGCGGATGAGGCTGGTCGCTGACGTCGATTCAATCAATCGGAGGACTCCGTGAATAACAACAGCACGAGCTCGAAACAAGAGCTTGAATATTGATCTGATGCTTGATTGCGTCTATCGAAGCGTTGACAGTTCTGCTGAACTGTACGAACGCTCCGCATCGAAGGAACAAGTCATCCTATCATATGCGCGTATAGGCGAATGTTGACCACAGGGCCTTATCTTCAGCCTGCTCTCGTGGAGCATCGTAAAATTCAGGAAGAGGAATGAAATTGCTTCGAAGCCCCTAGCGTGGAAGCTGCTAACCAGAAAAGCGCCGGGCCGTTCGGTCATCCAACCGCCGACCGGCCGACCGAGCAGCCAAGCGTGCAGCCAGCCAGTCAGCCAGTCAGATCGGCTCGATCGACTCTCGGCGAAAGATGCCGTTCTTTTTTTCTTGCGACTAGCGTGACGTGGCAAGAGGGTTTTTCGCCCGTCGACCCGCGGCTGCAGACACTCACGCCACTTTCTCTCTAATGCCGCTACCAGAAGCAGATTTCGGTCACCGCGTGGCATCGAACGCCAGTGGGGAATTCTTTTCTTCTCCAGCTCGCTCCGTGAGTCGCAGCTCTAATGAGCAGCCGGAGTCTCTCAGCCCTCCGATCTGCGTCAGTGGTCGATAAATCCGTCCATCTGTCTGCTTCTAGATCTACGTCAGAAACTCGACAAGAGAGGCTCGTGAACGCTATGCACGGTGTTCCGGTTGTCTCCGTCGATCGAAACCGCCGCGGCTGCTGGTACATCTGTGGAACTTCTCGCGTCGTCGACTAGTGCAGGGAGCGACGACCAGAGTGTCGAGAGCGTTCACGAGGAGGAGCGTCACTGAGAATCATCCACAGAGCTGCGAGAGAGAAGCGTTGCCGAGAGAGGGCATCTCGATGGAAAGTCTATCATTCCGATCGTGTGCTGCTGGCTGGATCTGCAGTGGAGGTTTGGAATGCTCTTATGGCTGCCGTGTCGTCTTTCGAAGGATTTAAGTGCATCTGCCGGGATAAAGGATTCCATCAAGTGTAATCGACCGAAGGGCTATCCAGCAGATCGACAGACTCACTTCTTGACTGACTGACTCCTTGACTGTCTCTCGTCTCTCCGTCGGTCGGTCGGTCGGTCTCTCTTCCTACCTCACGACAATTGTTGAGAACAGACAGTTTCTCAAAGTGCTCGTAGATCTGACAGTCTGTGAGCTTCTTGATCATCCGGTCGTCCATCCATCTGTCTCCCTGACAATCCGCGTATCTCTATCCGAGAAACTGAGCAAACGAACGGGATTGACGTGTTATTCGTTCTAGTGTGATGTGGAATCGACCCCCGCACCGAATAGCTGCGGCGGGAGGACATAAGCTGTCAATACTGGCGCTGCAATTGTCGTCGTCGCTCAGTGCTCCGTCGTGTACTCCGATATGTGCCAGAAACGGGCTGTGAAACAGGTGTCCTGGGACACTCCTCTGTCGAAAACAATTGAATTCGACCCATCGTCAGCTCCTTTCTGCGGTCACGAGTACCTGGTAGCGGCGGGCTGGAGAGTGGCACTGGTTCTAGTGGCGGCCGTCGGCTACCTCATGTGGTTATCAAAGAACCTCAAATAGACGGAATTCCGCTATATCTCGACGATAACATAGAGCATAGCGACGTCGACGACAAGGAATAAAAGCGGAGGAGGCGGAGGAAGGCCCTGCGGAGTCCATCAGAGAGTATCGGCTCTCGATAATCGTGAGTGAATGAGTGAGTGACCGTTTCGCATGCAGTCGTCCACATGGTGAATTCATTTCTATGTCCTAGCATCGTCCGGCCTGATTCGTCCGTTCGGCAGAGGCAGAGAGAAATGAGCCTGGAAACTGATTATCGGGTAGTCACCTGCCCTCTGTTCCCCCTGTCCCATAATAGAATGCGCGGAGCTCGTCGGTCTGCCGCACACCCCGGTGTCCTGAATTCCTGTCTGATTCATATTCTTGCAGGTTCAAAGTGCATACATTTATAGCTAGTTTACTGGCTAATCCTTCACTTTTCCGTCCTCACTTTTGTACATTCTATTTCCTCTTCGCGAACCGGCATTAGCAGCATCACGAAGATGCCAAGAATTTATGCTCCCATTCCATTTGAAAAATAGATCCAATCGAGTTACCGCTGGTATTCGCTTTTCGCCGACAATGATCCCTCGTAATTCGCACCAGCAACGCATGCTCGACTGTGGAATGCCTGAGACGCTGAAAAGTGCGAGGTTTCTCTTTCACTCGAGAAGATCGATTCGATTTCAAGGGAATGACCCGAGCAATCTTTTTCAGGAAGTTCGGCGGATCGAAGAGAGGCTTCAGATGGTTTCTGTCTGATCGCGGCTAGAGAATTCTCGATTCCGAAGACGACAGCTGACCCATCCGTGAGTGTTTTGCACCATCCATACAATGTTCAGGAACAGGCTTGAGTTTGAAGCGTCCTCTTCCCACTCGGCTCGTTCAGCTGAGTTTACGCAAGTCCCGAGAGCAGATCGGCGGATCATGGACTCGATCAAGGCTCTTGGATTCAATTCGCAATGAGCCATTCGCTCGCTCGCTAGAAATTTATACTCTCGGCTGTTAATTCTAAGTATGCCTGCGCACAGCCTCTAGGAATTCCGCTGATTTATAAGAAGATCTCGCATGCAAAGGTCACGATCGCCGCATTTCGAAACGCATTCAAGTCCGAGAATCGTACAGTGTAATGGGTGAGGGGACCCTCATTCACAGATTCACAGTGACATATTCAACATACAGAGCGACAGCGAGACGAAACGATTGATCCTGAGCAGCCAATCAGTCCGGCAGTCCAAGTTGTTTTCTCGACGAAGAAGTCGATATCGACTCTCAAATAATTCTGTCCGTCCGGATGGACATCTCCGTTACAGAATTGCCAAGATGAGTGGCAATACTCAAGATGGTCGGCGTCAGCAGCAACAGCAGCAGCAGAGCATACTGCACATGCTGCACTTTCAGTACAACTACAATGCATCGACTGTACTGACAGTCCGGGACAGGTTCTGCCATGCGATCTTCGTCAAACTGAGCCAATGTTACTGTCGCGAAGTGCCGCACAGAGCCAGAATGGCTATCGAATATAGTTTATTATTCTTGGTGAGTTGAAATCCCTCTGAGAGGATCTCTGGAATCACAATTTGATTTCTCTCCCGCGCTTGAGACCTTAGAACAATTTCTAGATTTTCTGAATTTTCCTGCACTCGTTCTGCGTCTCCCGATTCACCCGCTCCGACCCAAACCCCCAATGGACTCGATTCGGGTCGCTGGTCCGCCCCATGCGCGAAGTCACTCGACCCCGTGACGGGATATCGAGCTTTATATCGAGCATCGTTTTCCAGGCTCTCCTCTGCTTCGCCACTCTGACTTATATGCATGTAGCATTCGTGAAAAGCCCCATCGTGTGTCTGGATCACATCAGTCATCAATGGCCTCATGACGGAATTCTCCGGGTAGAAGTCCTTCAGGGGGCCGCGGAAGAGCCGCATACTCTAGAGAGAAGTTATCTCAAAGAGCTCGCTGTACAGCATAATCTCGGTTTAAGTCATTTCAAGTGAGTAATATCGAGGGCGGAGATAGCACCTATGACCCAACGCTCACTCATATGTCCCGGAAAACTCGTCTAATTGTGAGAATGATAAAATGTATTTTCTTACTTCCGCAGATTATCGGAGGTCGAGAATATCATGCACGAGAAGAAGTCAGAAGATTATCTGTTTTCATTCAGTAAAGCGATCAAGAGTGCCATCTCCGGGGAGGAGCGGACCACAAAAAAACAGCCCTCAAACCCCTCGATACCTCGAGTGAGTTCTTCTCGGAAATCCCAGCGAGATGAGCTGAATTTCCGAAACCAATTGTACAGTGGAATGTGTTGTAGTAGGATGTATGGTGTTTGCTTCATAGAATACTATCGGCGGAACCCGCACACACAGAATGCCTGGCGGCGCAGGCATAGGAATGAGAACTCAATTCTTGTGTGTTTCAGGATTTGATCGGTCTCGGAAATCGCTCGGTTCTCCTTGGATCCCTGAAAGGGAACTTCTCGGAAGAGACCGAAATGCGGATGACGTTCGTCGAATTCGAGAAATACCGTCGAGTGGTATGGCCGTCGAAAGAAACAATTGTAGAATACAGTTTAGATTACGGAATGCTGAGATTGACTCCAGCCGCTCGCAATCGTCTCAAGGTTCCTGTGCATCTCGTGACCCTGAGTGAGTACCTCTCAGAAAGACGTCTCATGCAAAGGAGAGAAACTCGACCGCGTTCATCATCGGATCGCAATTCGTCATCGATGGGATGATCCTGAAACTACTGCAGCTCGGAGTTTATGCCCTCCCGTTTTACAGGACCCGAGGTGAATCAGTGTTTCGGGGATGCGCTTTCGCGATTTTTGCTGCGCAACCTCGTGGGCTACAACGATTTGCTGATGGGATCGGTGAAGAGACTGGCCGAAAAAGAAAATAATAAAGGCTACGTCAAGAACGCTATTACTGGAGAGCACTTCCGATTCGTCTCCATGGGAACGACGCACACGAGCTACATCACAGCTGCTGTAGTCATGCTTGTTTTTGTGAGTAGACTCCACTGTTCTACGCAAGCGTCCGTTGATCATCAGATCGAGATCAACGACCACAACAATACCGCCTGAAGGCCATGGCGCCGTCTCGAGAATTCTCCACGGCGAAAAGAGCGTGGATCTTCCTCCGAAGAGAACGAGCGCTCGCCATTCTGAGGGGTGGATTCAAAATTATTCGAAGATGATAGGTTAGAATCGAAAATTGATTCTTTTGTTGTTTTCAGACACTTTCGATATCGATGCTCATGCGATACACACACCACCAGATATTCGCATTAATCGGTGAGTATTCAGCCCAGAGCTGTATACGCCCCTGGTCTATTGAACCCCATCGACGTCAATTGCTTCCAAAGGAATTAGCTGATTTCGCGTTCTGTGCGCATTGAAGGCCTGAATATTCAAGTTGCGTTCCTCTGTCTCGACGGTTAGACTGCCAACTTGGCTTTTAGAGTGAAGTGAGTGAAAGAGTGTCTCCGCATCTAGCGCAGAGCGTAGATATATACATCTATCTGTGCGTCCGCGCTCTCGCACGCTTCGGTGCTCGCACGTAGACACAAGAACGAGTGATCCAAGAAGGGATGTGAAAACTTGCGATGGCGACCAAGCGGACGAGGAGGAATTAGCACTCGTCGTTAGCACGCGGACCACGTCTCTGGCAATTTGTTGTTCACCCTCACGTGACTGTATTAATATCAGAGCCCCTCTGAACCCTTGTGACAGGCGGTGGCTCGATAAGATTCGGTAGTTCTCCACCCGGCTCGGAGCCGGCTTCGGCGAGTAAATCTCAGAAGTCCAACAAACGGATAATCTGGCGTCCGTCAGGATTAGGCTCTATCCGCTTGACCATGCGCATTAGGAAGGTCAGTGGGCGGCCATTGGCGAGGATGGGTGGGACCACGCGTCAGTTGATCAATGTTTCTGTCACCCGGAGGATGATCTGAGAGTGGAAGTGGGGTATAGGGTGTAGCAGCTCGATACCGGTTCATTCGCTTCCGTCATACATTTTCCAAGGGATACATATAGGTTATAGGGGTAGTCCCCGATTCATCGAGATTCCGTTCGGCGTGCATTGTATCCGTGCATTCCTCACCGCTCGTTCAAGGGCTCCGGCATGGTCGTGAGCAAGCAGTGTGGGGAAGTGCTGCGATTACTAACGAGGAGACCACAAGCTATTTGTTTTGCTTCAACCTCCGCTGTCAGTTGCCGAGTGAGTGTCAACTACATCGACGAGGCGGGTCAACACGCTCGGGTGGGGTTTTTTTCGTCGCCGCCGCAAGCTCTGTCTCGGTGTTGATATTGATCCGGGACCGTATCAGCGTCGTGGTCACCTCCTAAGAGACTTTGCCCGATTGCCTCGGATTGGAGAAAAAAATCCAATTAAGAGCGGACCGAGACTTGTGATGAGAAACTCTCGCGGACTACTATATGGCGCTTGCCGATAGGCGGCGGCTTCGATGATGTGTCTTCTGTCGCCACCGGATGTCATCTTAATGAGGGCAAGACACAAGGCAATATCCGCTTCTTGCAGCCAAGCGCGCAGTCGAATCAAGTGATCGGATCTCAACAAGGCTGTAGCATGAAGCTGTTTCTTGGCGGTTTTTCGTCCGGCTACAGAGTGGTCTCTCTTATACCGGACAACATCCTTCTACATAAGAAACTTCTTCCATTCGGATGGTGATATCTGTCCGATCGAATGTCGCTAGATTTAACGACGAGTGCTGGGGACTCAAGCGTACCAACGAGGCAATGGCGCATCACTCTGATTTGTTTTTTCCTCATGCGCTCGCTTATCAGATGGATTTTCCAGAATATGAGCCGACGAGGAAACCGTCGATTCGCAATCCATTCTTCGGCTCTGCTGCATTCCGTCGTTTCGGCAATGGTTTCAGAGAAGATGTTCGATAGCGGTCGGATCAGCAAGCGATGTAGACATGGATGGGGGATCCACACTATCGTATGATGGTGGATGGAATCGGCGGGCGATGCGAAGTTCGCAGATGGCTGGGATTGGGCGGAGATCGTGGTAGGAGAGATAAGAGACGGAGAACGAACTTGAGAGCAGAGTGATCTCGCTCGGAAAAAACATCGAGGATTTGTGCTTTCGCTTTTAATTGACTAATGACTCAGCATAATCGTTCTCGTCCAGACGCCGGGGTGGGTCGTCGCAGCCACGTTGTGCTACTCGAGTTCTCCTTCTCGACCTATAATCGTCGCTCATCCATCGCGTTCGCTTCAAGCCGAGAGCGAGGAAAACTTCTGCCTCCGCTTCTTGTTCTCCGTCCTGTCCGAGCTCTGCGTGGTCGAACGTGATTCGTCCTTTGACGTATGAGATTATCGCGTTCCAACTCGAGAGAATCCGCGTTTCCGAATTCGGATAGAAGCTTCCAGTCGAATGGCACGACTAGCCCGGTGTCACCTGTTCGCGGCGTTCGGGAAGGGTAAAATGGAGGGAGATCGGTTGACTCGAAAACCTCTGCGGTGAATCTCGGGAGGCTTCGATCACCTTCCCGTCACATTCGACCAATATGCTCGAAAAGATCCGTTCGCAAGCTGCTCTGACCTGGGCGCGACCATGGCCCAGCCGAATGTCTCACGACGGTGCGATTTCGGGGCAAATTCTTGGACGGAAGGATTATGGGAGATGCTGAAATGAGGAAGTCAGGCCTTTCGTTGTTCAAGTTGCTGTTGTTGATTCTTTCGGGTCTGTGACCGAACGCGCGCCCGCCCGCTGTTCGCCGTAATCTTTTGGGGCAAGAATTAGGCCGAGCGGCCGGTCGGGTGGGCGGGCGTTCGCTCCGCCGGCCGGACCGACGGTCCGGGGCAGGGGGTTGTTGGGCCGACTGTTTTTAATCAAGTCGGGATTAGCGACAGTCGGCCAGCATATGGGCAGTGGCTAGGGTCGTACTGTTGGAGGTCGGTGGCGGTGATGGTTGTCGCAGTGGACAGCGTCGAAGCAGCGAAAGCAACGGCACCAGCCAGTCATCTAACCCGCCAGCGAACCAGCCTTGGCTGCTCGCTTGTAATAATAGGCTTTTGTTCATTCAAGCCCGATTGTTCCCCTCTGTTCTTGGTCGCGTTTGCCGGTCGCATAGACCCCTCCCTCATGCATCCCCATCTGTCACCCCCTCCGCGACGAGGGGGATATACGCAGCCCCTCGCTGGTTGTTTCCGATCGAAATGAGCTCAATAAAGAGCATGCTTAAGGCTTCATTGATTGTGCTGCTTCGTTTCTTTCGCTGCTATCTGGTTGAACATCTTCAGCCGAGAGCCTAGAGCGAGTTTGGTCGACTAAGTCGACGGGGCACGATTGCGCGCATCGAGGAAATCGTCAGCGCCCATCCACATTTGAGCTCTCGCTCTCGACTTCAGGCCGTTCCGGCATCACCAGGGTATGATGAATCAAAACCAGATCGTCGAGATGATAAATCGTTCGTTTTTCGTTCCAGTTGACGTGCTGCACCTCTTGGAATTCAATTCCGGTCGAAGTTTCCGCACGGCGCCGCTTTTCACCGTCATTCTCGCGCTCGTCGGCATGGAGGCAATCATGAGTGAATTCTTCAATGACTCGACGATTGCGTTCGGCATAATTTTTATTGTCTGGTTGGCCGATCATTACGACGCTGTCTGCTGCCACACTTCCATCTCGAAGAAACACTGGCCAAGGTGAGAACCATGAGCGGTGATACGCATCGCAGTCTTCTGTCCGACAGCGGGGAATTTTACAGGAAAACGCGCAAGAACCTGATATTTCTCGGTCAACAAAAGCCTCAATCTATTCTCGGTTCGTCTCTGTGTCGATATCTGGTATCGATGATAACTCGATTCAAATCAGCGAGATAAGCTCACAAAGAGAACCAAGGAGCCAAGATAGTCGTCCTCTTTTGGGACATCTCAAAGGGCCCCAGGACAGCTGAGCTTAAACAATAATTTGAAATGACACGGGCTGCGGCGGAATGGCGGGACCAGTGCGCTCTACGAGGCTCTCATCGGTTCCCCCGAATAGCATAGATTCTCTTTTTGAGGACTTTTTGAGCGACCAAAAAAAAGAAGAGATTTTCTGTGACATGGGGAGTGTCAACTTGTTGCGGGGAATTTCAATACATATTTTGCATACGGCGCTCGTAGCTCACTCCGGAATGCTGTGTAGTCGTAATCCATCTCAGGACCGCCCGAGTGAAGGGCTGGGCGCTTCTGCTAGTCGCTGTTCTCGACGGACCTCCGCGTGCATCGTGTTCGTAACGCAGATGAATATGATATCTTTCAGATTTTTCTACCTGTATCATTTCGCCTTCTACGCTTACGACTACCGCTTCAACGGTCAATTCAGCGGCCTGGCTCTCCTCACTTCGCTTTTCTTCATCATGGTGAGTCTGGAGTCCTCGCTTCTTGAGGGCCTCAGGTTTTTCGGATGGATCAAGCGATCTTCGTCCCGAAGAAGATTCAAACATCTAGATTTCTCCCCGCAGCATTCGATGGTTTACTTCTACCATCGCTTCGAGATGCCGGCGATCGTTCGTGTCGAAGACCTCAATCCGAATGCTATGGAGACACGAGCCGACAACAACAACCAGACGGTCGATGGAGGGCTCCAGACGGCAACGACTCCTCCGTCTACCCAGTTTGTCATTTCGGCTCGGGTCACCGTCACGAGACGAGTGGAAACATCTCCGGTTACCGGCGACCGGAACCACGAAGTGTCGGATCTGAATCGTCGGAATCCTGAATCCCGAATTTCAGACGATGAAGGTGTCGACAGCAGTCGCAATACGCCTGAGCACAGAAGTCCGCAGGGAGAGAACAACCGCACGAGGAAATTGTCTTCTTGTAGCAGTACTCAGGTAAGTACGACTGATCGTTTCTTTGGCGTTTCTCATCCCCGACGAGGACTAGGTTCCCTGAAATTCATCTCCTCCCTCCGCAGGCTTCTTCGTGCGGCTGTTGCAGTTCGAACGACTTGAGCGATCACGAGTGAAATCGCTCCTGTCAAGTCTCCGTGCTCTGCGTTCGGAGCTACTGCTGGTTGGAAAGCTTTTGTACAAAATGTTCTGTTATACTGATTGACCTCTGAGAGAATAGGTGTTCTATCTATTTATTCTAGTTAGCTTCCCGGTGGATACATAATGTAGTATACCACGACCGAGGAAAGGGTCGGGATCGTAGTGAGCTAGGCAGTCTTGAGTAAAATATAGTCAGTCTACTGCCGAGAGCGGTGACTCGAGTCCGGTGTCTGGGACAGCTCGACCTCGAGCATACGGAAGCCTGATGCGAGAGACTTTATTTCTCCCGGATATCGACCGGTAAAGGAAGAGGTGAATTTCGGTTTGACCCATACTGCTGGGGTCGTCGTGTTCAATGGGGTAGTTCAACCCCGCCTCGAATCAACAAGGAGCAGGCTTGAGGTTCTAGAATCCGTCTCTGTGTAACTGAGCCGCTCTTCTCCGTCTCGCAGATTATGCGAAAAGCGCTCCTTTCTGGAATGTATATTTTCCGGCGCGCTACACCGGCAGCAGCTGTCGCGGGCTCTGTGATGTTTTGTACGGCGAATGAAATAGATAGTGTGGAATCTTGTACCAAAACCTAAAACTGTTTGAGCTTGAGGAATTAACAAAGTCGGATACTGGATTCTAAATTGAGGGAGATTAGGAAAGGAAATAAATTCAAAGCGTTCGGAAACGACTAATGATTGTTCTCTTTGACTCCGGGATAGAATGCGCCGCAGGTTTATCGCAGGGCGTCGAGTTTTCCTTCTCTATTCGAGGAAGGCGTCGCTAGCGGAACAGAAGCACATTTATGGGATAGAGAATCGCTCGGTGACCCGCAAAGATGGTCGAGAGGACCCGGTTCGCGAAACAACGAGTCCTCCCGAAGGTGTTGAGGAGCTCCGTGGAGGAACTCGACTCTCGGGAGGGATCTGTCGGGAGCTCAAATGATTACAGCGGCGACCCTGACTGTGCTGGAGCGAATCAATCGTTCGTGTGGCTCCCGGAGACTCTCATTCCTTCCATTCGAGAATATGGGAAATACTTGTCCATGACAATCTGAAACATTAGACAGCGGAACAATAGAACGACGTGCGCTACTTCGAGGGACACGTAATCCGGAGCACTCGACTACAATGTCCGCGTCTTTGGGACGCAAGTCCTTAAGCATATTGGAGTGCTTGTTTATTGTACTCTCTAATCCCTCATTCAACAATCAGCTTTCAAGAGAGACAACGGGCCTGGTGGAAGGATGCAGGCAGGCAGGCAACGGAATCTGAGAGATATCGCAGAAAAAGCATTCCAGTCTCGGCGGTCCTAGTGTCCCCAAATCTCTGTGGGATAGATTGGATGGATTGCGGAGCTACACCGATTCTAAGTCCGCGAGCTTGCCCATTCGAAGTATCCTCGAACAATCGGCTTCACGGAAGTTTTTCAAGGCTCCATAGCCTGGAGACGGGAGTTAAGAGATATTGAATAGCAAGATGTAACGAGAGCGTCGAAACCAATTAGACGGGTTCACGGAGATTGTCCCGAATTATGAGAACTAACCCTCATTCGTCTTCATGAATTTGTTTTGAGGCATACAAGATGCTGTAGCGGGACCGGACTCGCAGGGAGAGAGGCGGAGAAGTGGAGCCTGCCGGTAGACGCGACTTGTAATTGCTTGTCACGCTTTTGGAGATGCAGTGTGGTGTAATCCCCGTTGGGACCTTTTCACCGAGTCTGTTTCTCTTCCCCAAAGGGCGTCTTGAAATTATCTTTTGAGCTTCCTCAATTGTGAGACATAGTCCCGGCAGCAGTCGACGACGATGTATTGATCACGTTCAAGTTCTCAGAGTCGGTGTTTACATGTTCGAGGTGTTATGATCTTCGAGAGACCACGGACGAGTTGGCGCCTCATCCGATCGACTGATTGATCCCGCGCCGTGTTCGCGGAAATTCTTCGTTATTGACGTAGCCTATCCACCGAACGGCAGGAACATGACGGGAAGCTACTGCGAGGGTCCGCTCTGGGACGGACGAAATATGTGGGGTGACAATCCACCAGTTTTTACGGAGTGCTTCGAAGACACAGTGCTCGTGTTCGTGCCAAGTTTCTACGCGCTATTCGGTGGGATAACTTATTATTATTTTCGACGAACATGGCCCGGCAAGGCTCTGCCGATCACTATCCTCCACATCGCGAAACTCTCAACGATCTGTGCTCAAATTCTCCTCCACTCCTACGGCGCTTACTACGGCCTAATGGCTGAATCTCCGAGTGTCTCGGGTTTCGTCGCCGACCTTCTGCGAGTTTTGAGCTTTCTCATGGTGTTCATCCTTCAAGTCAGAGATCGCAACCACGGAATTTCAACCTCGGCTTTCGTAGCGATATTCTGGGCGCTCGAATTGGTATTCGAGCTTTTCGTCTACTATCGCTACTTGCTCACAGCATTTGTAGGCTTGGATGAGCTCGAGCCCATACAGACATCGGAGTTCATCATCGGGATGATAAGCTATCCTCTGATTCTGCTCCAATTCGTCTTATCAGCTTTTTCTGAAAACGATCCCGTGCTGAGGAGAGATCAATCGCACCGAAACCCCATCTACACGGTGTCACCCGTTTCGAAACTGTTGTTCAGCTTCTTCACGAATCTTGTCTACACGGGATACAGACGACTGCTCTCGATGAAGGACCTGCCACCGCTCATCGACTCCATGTACTCGGAGTACTGTTTCCGACGTTGGAAAAAAGTCGAAGATTCGTACAAGGCATCAGGCCAGAACGTGGGTCTCATCAAATCCATCTTCATGACCTACTGGCCGATCCTGACATTCGTTTGGGTCCTCGAAAGCTCCTTTGTCATCACCCGAGTGAGCACTTTCTTAGCTTTAAACGAACTCATAAAGTACTTCACGTCGCCCGACGAACCGAGCTGGAAGGGCTACTGCTACGTTATTCTCATCCTCCTCGCGTACAACGTATCCTCGACCCTGATACGTTGGGGCGATTACATTCTGATCTCCCTCGGAATCAAAATCAAGTCCCTACTCATCGCCGCAATCGTCCGTAAATCTCTTCGAGTTGACGGAAATCATCTGGGAAAATTCACTGTCGGCGAGCTTGTAAATCTCCTGTCGGTGGACGCGGACAAAATTTATCAATTCTCTAATTACGTCGGCATCATGATAGGGTGCCCCCTTTACGTAACCCTGTGCACATGGATGCTGTGGGTATTCCTCGGACCCTCCTGTCTGGCTGGCATCTCGATAATCATCATCATGACCCCCGTCACGGCAATCGTGGCCAACCTGAGCAGAAAAGTGCAATCCAAGCAGATGTGCCTGAAGGACACCAGATTGAAATTCATAAGCGAAATTCTATCGAGCATAAAAATCGTCAAATTCTACGGCTGGGAACCGCCCTTTGTTGACCGAGTGCAAACAGTCCGCAAGAAGGAAAACGAATACCTTAAGACATTCGCTTATCTGACGGCCACTCTGCGCTTTTTCTGGTCGGTGACACCTTTCCTCGTCAGTCTATTTGCGTTCGTGACCTACGTACTCGTCAACGATCTCACAACTATCGACACCAATGTTGCGTTCGTATCTCTTGGTCTCTTCAACGGTATGCGTTTTCCCCTCGCCGTTATTCCGGACGTGATCTCGAATGGCGTGCAGACCTTGGTGTCGGTCCGACGCATTCAGAGTTTCCTGATGGCGAAAGACCTCGAGGAGAATGTTGTCGGGCACGAGCCTGGCTCCGGAAACGCCGCCAGATGGGAGGGGGTTTCATCGAGCTGGACCGCGAAGCTCTGCGAGCTCACCCTTGAAGAAGTCGATCTTACCGTCAAAACTGGTCAGCTCGTCGCCATAGTGGGCAAGGTCGGCTGCGGAAAGTCCTCCCTGCTCAACTCGCTCCTGGGCGATATCAAACTCATGCGCGGGAAAATCGATCTGGCCGGATCTATGGCGTACGTCCCCCAGCAAGCCTGGATTCAGAACGCGACCATCAAGGAGAACATAATCTTCACGAAGCAGTTCAGCAAATCGCTCTACAAACGCACAATCGACAAATGTTGCCTGAGTATGGATCTGAAAATCCTCCCAGGCGGCGATCAGACTGAGATTGGCGAGAAAGGCGTAAACCTGAGCGGTGGTCAGAAGCAGCGCATTTCGCTGGCGCGGGCCGTGTACATGGATCGAGATATTTATCTGCTCGATGATCCGCTCAGTGCCGTCGATGCTCATGTGGGCTCGGCGATTTTCCAGGATGTCATCGGAAACACGGGCGTTCTGAAGCAGAAAACGAGAATATTCGTCACCAACATGCTCTCTGTTCTTCCGAAAGTTGATCGCATCGTTTTCATGAAGGATGGCAGGATCGTCGAGCAAGGAACCTACGATGAGCTGCGGAATACCGTTGGGGAATTCGCGGAATTCCTCAACGAGCATGCGAAGAGCAGCCAAAAGGAAGAAACGCCGGAACCAGAACCTGTGCTCACGCGAGAATCGCACGCTCGGTCGATGAGCATCATTTCAACGGATAGTACGTCGATCTACGGAGGCCAAGCGAATCAGGTTCTCATATCGGAAGAGTACATGCAATCCGGATCTGTGAAACTATCGGTGTACACAAAATACCTTTCGAAAATAGGGTTCCTCTTCTGCTTGGCGATCCTAGTCGGTTTTGCTGGGGCCCGAACCTTCGACATTTACACTGGGGTTTGGTTGAGTGAATGGTCGAGCGACTCTCCGGGAAAAAGCGCCGAGAATTATGCTCAGCGTACTTATCGCATCCTTGTTTACGCGGCCTTAGGCCTATCGTATGGCTTTCTATCGTTCGTTGGCACGGCATGTCTTGCCAACGGAACGCTCAGTGCTGCCAGAAAACTGCACAACGACATGCTGAGCACGATCATTAGGGCCCCTATGAGTTTCTTCGACACAACGCCTCTGGGTCGGCTTCTGAATCGATTCGGCAAAGACGTCGACCAGCTAGACATAACGCTCCCCGTTGCAGCGAATGTCTTCCTCGATATGTTTTTCCAGCTCGTCGGAGTAATCGCTCTGATTACGATCAATATCCCTATTTTCCTCGTCATATCGGCCCCTCTACTCGTACTTTACATGGTTTTCCAAAGAGTCTTCATGCGAACCATCCGACAGATTAAACGCATGGAAGCCGTCACGCGGTCTCCTGTCTACAACCATTTCGCTGAGACACTGAACGGATTGAGCAGCATCAGAGCCTACGGCGCTGAAGAACATTTCATTTCAACTTCGGACGTGCACGTGGATCTGACGCAGAACTGTACCTATTTATTATTCGTAGGGAAGATGTGGCTCGGTACCCGACTCGATATAATCGCGAACTTCCTCATCGTCATCTCAAACATACTTGTCGTTCAGCAGAAGGGTATCATGGATCCCGCGATGGCTGGATTCGTGGTGTCCTACTCGATGGGGACGGCCTTCGCCTTCAATCTCATCGTTCACTACGTCTCTGAAGTCGAGGCGGCCATAGTGGCTTCGGAGAGGATCGAAGAATATTCCTCAGACGTCGAAGCCGAAGCCCCGTGGAAGACAGATTACACACCCGAGGAATCTTGGCCCGCTGAGGGTGAGGTCGTCTTCGACAAATATTCAACTCGGTACAGGAAGGGTCTAGAATTGGTTCTCAAAGAGGTGGACCTACAGATTCGGCCGCGTGAGAAAATCGGAGTCGTGGGTCGGACTGGCGCGGGGAAGTCTTCGCTCACACTTTCGCTCTTCCGGATCATCGAAGCCGCCGAGGGTCGTTTGCTCATCGATGGCATCAACATAGCTGGTCTTGGATTGCACGATCTCCGGCCGCGACTCACGATAATCCCTCAAGATCCAGTCATCTTCTCAGGAACACTGAGAGTCAATCTCGATCCAAACGACGTTCACACTGACGAAGAGCTATGGAACGCCCTAGAAAAAGCACACGTCAAGAAACAGTTCATCTGTGAAGGTCTTCAAACCGAAATTGCGGAAGGTGGCGCAAACTTATCGGTGGGCCAGAGACAGCTCATTTGCTTGGCTCGGGCTATCCTACAGAAGAGACGCATTCTAGTCATGGACGAAGCCACTGCCGCTGTCGATGTGGAAACGGATGCTCTCATCCAGAAAACCATTCGTGCCGATTTCTCTGATTGCACAATATTGACGATAGCTCATAGACTGAACACAATTCTAGACTCGGATCGAGTAATCGTTATGGATGCCGGTAGAGTTGTCGAGCAAGGTTCTCCCAAAGCATTGCTAGAGGATACATCGTCCCGATTCTACGACATGGCACTTGAAGCGGGACTCGTTGAGACTTCCAAGAAGTCCGACTGATTTAGTCAATTCACCCGAGAGGTCAAGCTCGGAGGAACTTTGATGATGTTTATAAGATCCGAAAAGATTCCGAGAGGAGAAGCGAACATTATGATGTTTATAAAATTCTAGCAGAACCCGGAAGGAGACTAATAAAGATTTACACATTAGAAGCGTGTTCTTTCTGCATCCAACTCTCTGACCAATGGAACACTGATCGAATGCTCCATAAATCGGATGATTCCTGCGACAAGATTGCATTAGGAAGAGCCTCGATCATAGCCCTTGTACATTTCTAGTACAATTTGGACCAGGTAAGCGAAATACAGATCCATCTATCGAGTAGGGGCTCGTTGCACGGGTGTGTGCCCCCTGGATGTCGGAGGGATCGTCGCAGGGCTGCCGGCGACTGCGCCCGGACCTGAGCGCAGCGGCTTCCTGTGCGTTCAGAAAGTAAGCCAGTTCCAGCGGTTAAGACTCCGTCCCTGCATTAGATGTGCGGACCACGAAGCCTGAACTAGCTCCTCCTCGATCCGAGGCCCTTGTGAGGATAAATGGATATTCCCTCGAATGCGCTATGCGTGTCTCGTCGAGCACACGTCGGAGCTCGCCAATGAAGTGAAATACCGTTACCCCGAGGTTCTTTCCTCTTCGCTCCGCGAGCATGCGATCGCGGAGTTTTGTTTGAACATAGATCTGAAAATTCTCGCTTTCTGCTGAGAGACGTGCGGTGCTGCGCCGACCGAGGGCTGGAAGATGTCGCATGAGTTGAAGTCGCACACGTATAGCGGCGTTTATTTCCTTGGTGATCCTCTTAGCGTTGTCTAGTCGGATGTGGACTTTCCTAGACCCTGGGAATCCTTTCGAATTCGAGTTCGTGGAAAAAGGACGAACGACTATCCTCCAGCAGAATGCCCACCACCTAAACCTGAGTCAGTCGCTCTGGCCTCACTGGGAATCGTATCAGTTCCGAATGATCTCACGGCGCCGATATTCCATGATCGGAGTTCGAGAGATGAGGTTCTAGCAGAAGCTCGATTGCAGTATGACGCGTCTAGAGTTGATCCATAAACCCAATTTTAATCCGAGAGGAATAAATCCTTGTGGATCAAATCAGTAGAAATCCCTGATGGGGGGAATGTGCCATGAAGAGCTCAGCAGGGATTGCTCGAGTTCCGGTATACTACGTTTTCCAGGAGCAGGGTTTCTCCATTTTATATTGATCCATCTTTGCTCCACGATGGCCTGCGCTCTCGGTATACAGTCTAGAATACACAGTTTAGGAGAGACCGATGAACCAAACGGGGAATACCAGTAATCTGTGTCCGTCGGATTCATCGGAACCTCGTTCTCCCAGTCTTTTCAGGTCCATCATTCGGCTGCTTCCCGTGAATGGCGCAAACCATCCCGAAGTATTGGTGCTATTCGCGAGAAGCACGACGGACCGCTGAAATCGACCACCAACCGCAAGTTAGGGTTTTCAGGCAGACTTCCGCATTAAAACGTACGGGCTGTTTGGTAATCGCTTTTGCCGACGCACGTATTAAAGAGGGCTCGCATCCTCTTGGATTCGAGAACCTTCGCAGTCGGAGAAATCGTAATTTCAATACAATAATTGTACGAAACTCTGGGGGTTCAGGAAGATTCGACCAAGGGAACGGTATAATAGTCCAGGAGAATGATAACTATACCACGGAACTTCTAGGAGTGCTCCCGGAGCAATCCCAGCCTCAGCCTGGTCAGGGAAGAGAAAATGATCATCTCAAAAGACAGCACGCGAGTCTTTACACGAGACCCGGCTGACCAGGAATTATACGGAAAACTATCAAAGACCGGAGCACCACTCTATTCGTGAGACAAAGATACTGCAAAGTGTGCAGGAAATTCAATCATAAACGGGCGAAGAGGTGAAGTGTCATCGCGTCGCCCTATTGACGGAGATCATTTGTGCAGAGAAAGCGTTCCAGACGCGGTTCCGGAAATATGCGCCGCTAGTAATGAGCGTTCCAGGCGATTTCCACTCGAACCATCCTCGTGGTCATCGTCCATCGTGATATCACGATGTGCTGAGTTCCGACTGCTGTTCTCAATCGTGATGTTATGTTCCCTAGCAGACGGTTCTATCCGTAGAGCGAGAGAGAGCGAACAGCGAAGTCTGTAGGTGGTCGACTCACGTCCTGGCAATCTCGAAACACGCTTCGGTCGATCGCGCGGACAATGCTCGACGCTTTAGAGACTGATCCCCAAAGTGACAAATCTCTCTTTCCCGCTGGGCGTCGCGAATTTATCCTGGGAGCCTCTTGAATTCGATGACATTCTTAAAACAACAGCATTAGGCATCCATGTGTTGACCGCGCTTGAATCGAACAGACGACTGCTGTCTCTCAGTTGGGCCCGTAATGACCAGTGGAGAGGTTCAACTCGGCGGCTTTCAAGACTGACCGAATCGTTCCGTGTTCCCGGAAGCTGTGGGCAGCCGCCGGATTGTCAGATCCTGAGGGCTCTTTGGTACGAACCGAACTCGACGCTGCCGACAAGCCGAACAATGAAAGGGGGTTACTGCCAGGGTCCCTTATGGGACCCGAAGTTCTGGAGTGATGAACCCCCGGTACTGACAGAGTGCTTCGAGAACACAGTGCTCGCTTTCGTTCCGAGTTTCTTCGTTCTAATCGGCGGTGCAATCTACCTGTACACTCGCCGAACATGGCCTGGAAAAGGTTTGCCGATCACGATCCTTCACGTCGCGAAAATAGCGACGACCGGCGCCCAGGTCCTGCTCCACTGTTACGGCGCGTTTTACGCTCTCTCCAGTGCTAGCTCGAGCACGTCGGACTTCGTCAACGATCTGCTTCGGGTAATCAACTTCATCATGGTCCTCATTCTTCAAGTCACAGACCGCAACCGAGGAATATCAAGTTCTGCATTCCTGGCTATTTTCTGGTTCTTGGAATTACTCTGTGAGCTACCGATATACTATCGCCACTCTCTGACGGTTTTCGGGCCCACGGACCTCAATCTGGAGCCCATCCAAGACACAGACTTCATAATCGAAATGGCGAGCTATCCGCTGGTGGTCGTTCAATTCACTCTGGCTTCATTCTCTGAGATCACACCCGACCTTGGGAAGATTCTACCGAAACGTCATCCGATCTACACTGTATCACCGATGTCGAAGCTTTTGTTCAACTTCTTCTCGGACCTGGTCTACCGAGGCTACAGTAAGCTGCTTGTCATGACGGACTTGCCGCCCATAATCGACACAATGTACTCCTCTACCTGTTATAGACAATGGAAGGAAACCGACGACTCGTACAGGGCATCGGGACGGAAAATCTCCCTCATCAAATCCATTTTCATGACATACTGGCCGATGCTTTCATTCGTCTGGATCCTGGAAGTTCTGTTCGTCGTGACGCGTGTCAGCTCCTTCCTCGCTCTGAACGAGCTAATTCTCTACCTCAGCTCGCCCGACGACCCCGCTTGGAAGGGTTACGTGTACGTCGTCTTGATATTCGTAGTCTACAGCTCTTCCACCACGTTGTTGCGATGGGGTGACTATTTCCTAATTTCTCTCGGAATCAAAATCAAGTCCCTACTGATAGCCGCTATCGTCCGGAAATCCTTTCGAGTCGACGGTAATCACCTGGGGAAATTCACGGTGGGCGAACTTGTAAATCTCCTGTCTGTAGATGCAGACAAAATTTATCAGTTTTCGAATTATGTCGGTATCATGATAGGGTGTCCTTTCTACGTCGGGCTCTGTACATTGCTGCTGTGGAATTTCTTGGGGCCGTCGTGTCTCGCTGGAATCTCGGTCATCGTAGTCATGTCACCCATAACCGCGTACGTCGCGAATCTCAGCCGGAAAATGCAAGGAGAACAGATGAGCCTGAAGGACTCGAGGCTCAAATTCATCGGGGAAATTCTATCCAGCATAAAAATTATCAAGTTCTACGGTTGGGAGCCGCCATTTGTCGACCGGGTCCAGAACGTCCGTAAGGATGAAAATGCGTATCTGAGGAAATTCGCCTATCTGACCGCTACGTTGAGGTTCTTCTGGTCGGTGACGCCTTTCCTCGTAAGTCTATTCGCGTTCGTGACCTACGTTCTCGTCAACGATCTCACCACGATCGACACAAACGTCGCTTTCGTATCGCTCGGACTCTTCAATAGCATGCGTTTTTCGCTAGCGACGATTCCTGACGTCATTTCCAATGGAGTTCAAACTCTGGTGTCCGTCCGTCGGATAGAGAATTTCCTCCAAGCGAAGGATCTCGAGGAGAACGTTATCGGCAACAAGCCCGGCGCAGGGAATGCTGCCAAATGGCAGAGTGTCTCGTCGAGCTGGACGGACAAGGAATCCGAGCTGGCGCTTGAAGACATCGACTTGACTATCGGAGCTGGAGAACTCGTCGCCATCGTGGGCAAGGTCGGTTGTGGCAAATCATCGCTGCTCAACTCACTCCTCGGGGACGTGAAACTAATGCGCGGCCGAGTCGATCTCTCAGGGACTGTCGCCTACGTGCCCCAGCAAGCGTGGATTCAGAACGCAACGATAAAGCAGAACATTCTCTTCACGAAACAGTTCAGCAAGCCCATCTACAAGCGAGTGCTCGACAAGTGTTGCTTAACAACAGATCTGAAAATTCTCCCCGGGGGCGATCAGACCGAGATCGGTGAGAAAGGTGTCAACTTGAGCGGTGGTCAGAAACAGCGGATTTCGCTGGCCCGAGCCGTGTACATGGATCGAGACGTCTATCTGCTCGACGACCCTCTGAGCGCCGTCGATGCTCACGTGGGCTCGGCTATCTTCCAAAACGTCATCGGGAACTCGGGAATACTGAAAGGTAAAACACGGATCTTCGTCACGAACATGCTCTCCGTCCTCCCGAAAGTCGACCGGATCGTGTTCCTGAAAGATGGGAAGATCTTCCAGCAAGGTACTTTCGAGGAATTGCGAAACACCGTCGGCGAATTCGCGGAATTCCTCAAAGAACACGCGAAGAGCAATGAGAAGGAGGAGGAACCGGAGCCAGAACCGCTCGTTATAAAGGAATCGTATCCGCGATCGATGAGCATCGTCTCGAACGACAGCATGCAAGTTTTCGGAGATCAAGTGCAGCAAACTCTGATATTGGATGAGGCCATGCAATCGGGATCGGTGAAACTGTCGGTTTATACGAACTACTTCTCCAAAATAGGATTTTCTTTCTGTATCGTGATCCTCGCTGGTTTCGCCGGCGCTCGAGCTTTTGATGTGTACAGCGGGATCTGGCTCAGCGAGTGGTCGAGCGACTCATCTGAGAAAACCGATGAGAATTACGGTCAACGGACGCTCCGGATCGTCGTCTACGCAGCCTTGGGTCTCCTCTATGGAATTCTTTCGTTCATCGGAACCGCTGTCCTTGCGAACGGCACCTTGAAGGCCGCTAGAACATTGCACAATGGCATGCTGAACTCGGTTATCAGAGCGCCGATGAGCTTCTTCGATACCACACCTCTCGGTCGGCTACTGAATCGATTTGGCAAAGACGTCGATCAGCTCGACATTCAGCTTCCAGTGGCGGCGAATGTTTTCTTCGATATGTTCTTCCAGCTGCTTGGTGTCATCATTCTTATTTCAATCAACGTCCCGATTTTCCTCCTGGCTTCGGCTCCCCTACTTTTCTTGTACATGGTCTTCCAGAGGATCTACATGAAGACGATTCGACAACTGAAACGCATGGAAGGCGTGACCCGATCACCGGTCTACAATCACTTCTCCGAAACTCTCTACGGTTTGAGCAGCATCAGGGCGTACTGCGCAGAAGATCATTTCATCTCAAAGTCGGATGATAGGGTTGACCTGACGCAGAATTGTACTTATCTTCTCTTCGTCGGGAAGATGTGGCTCGGTACCCGTCTCGATATCATCGCGAACATCCTCATCGCAGTGTCCGGCTTCCTGGTCGTGCAGCAGAAAGGAATTATGGATCCTGCAGTGGCTGGCTTCGTGGTGTCGTATTCAATGGGAACAGCGTTCGCTTTTACTCTGATCGTGCATTTCGCATCGGAAGTCGAAGCGGCGATCGTCGCCTCGGAGCGTATCGAAGAATACACGGACGTGAAACCAGAAGCACCGCTGAAGACGGATCTCGATCCTGGAGATTCTTGGCCCGACGACGGAGAAGTCGTCTTCGATAAATACTCGACCCGATACCGAGAAGGATTAGAATTGGTCCTCAATCAAATTGATCTCAATATTCGACCTCGTGAGAAAATCGGAGTCGTCGGTCGAACTGGAGCAGGAAAATCATCTCTCACGCTGTCCCTCTTCCGAATTATCGAAGCTGCCGAGGGCCGTTTGCTGATCGACGGTATCAACGTGGCCAAAGTGGGTCTGCACGACCTCCGACCGCGTCTCACAATCATTCCTCAAGACCCCGTGATATTCTCGGGATCTCTCAGAGCCAATCTGGATCCGAATGACGCCCATACCGATGAGGAGCTCTGGAATTCCTTGGAGAAAGCCCACGTGAAGGAGCAGTTTGCCATTGAGGGCTTGCAAACAGAGATAGCCGAAGGTGGCGCGAATTTGTCAGTGGGTCAGAGACAGCTGATTTGCTTGGCTCGGGCTATTCTGCAGAAGAAGCGAATCCTAGTCATGGACGAGGCCACGGCCGCTGTCGATGTAGAAACTGACGCCCTCATTCAAAAAACAATTCGCGCCGATTTCTCCGATTGTACAATAATAACCATCGCGCATAGGCTCAACACGATCTTGGACTCGGACCGTGTAATCGTCATGGAAGCCGGCAAAGTTGTTGAAGAAGGTTCCCCGCCCGCTCTGCTCGGAGATCCAAATTCACGTTTCTATGATATGGCGCGGGAAGCTGGTCTCGTCGAGAGTCCGACGAAGTCCTGAGCTCTGATCAAGCTCCTATAGGCATGCGAAGATGTTGGAAGGGTCGAAATATACGGAGTGTTTTTAATAAATCTAAGTTAAGCTCAATCCTCCCTTCTTTCTCCGTCGCCATCGGAGGACAGGGTACGCACACAGTCTTCCCAATAGGATAGCACGCCCGGCTTTTTTGTCGCTTTCCGGAGATGGCCGTCGATTTGAGACCTCCGGCATACATCCGTAGAGGGGACAGCCCGTTTACAATTCTCCCGACTCGATCTTGGCACCTCCATCTCGGAACTGGGAACAGATGATGGGCATTCTTTGAATGTCTCGATTCGTCCTTTTTTGCGTTCTCCATTAACTTTTGTTGCGGTTTCTATGAGCTGTGAAAGATTCCACTGTTGATAGAGTGCCCCTAGGTGGCCCGGAGGAAGCCCGTCCCATGGAGTGTCTCGGAGAGACTTTGGACGTCCAAGCGAATACGCTTAAAAGTCTCCTGAGTTAGTGAAGAGCTCGATGAATCTCGCCAGGTGGCTCATCAGGTCGATTCCGATGCAAGCCTGGCTGGTCTCCTTCATTCAATAGATCGGCTCCATTGAGCAGGTACTTCTTTGTCGGGACTCGCTCGGTAGGGAGATCGAGAGATCCTGGGAATTACCCAAGTCAACGTGCCCTCCCGAAGCCGGAACTCTGATTCTAAGAAATCTTAACTCTTAACAATACAGAGATTGTCTAAAGAGCCTCTGGAAGGAATTTTGACTTGGCCCACGGGGCTCGAGAACTCGCCGCCATCATGGGCCAGGTCGTTCTCGCCTAATAATCACTGCTCGACCGGTGGGTTCTTATGGGTTCATCCATGATGTTCCCACCACTCGCAGCTCCGCCGTCTGTGCGGATCCCCGACGCATCGACATTAGTCTCCACCACTTTTGCTCATTGACGGCGCATTCGGAGTGACCCATACGGCAGCCTGGTTCTCCTTCGCTCGCGCTCCCGACTCCATGATCAGCTTTCAGTTTCTGTCGGTCGCTGCCGACCTCATCCGAGATTTCGATCGCGTTTGGCTCCGATTTCTGGAATCCTTTCTCCTCCGGAGCGTGAATCGGTGTAAAGGGAACGAGCAGATGACGCGCGAGCTCGGCAATCGCGCTCAAAAATCTAGTAGGATTTGTCTCGAAACAACAATATCTCCATGAAATGTCCGCTCTCTACTAATGCGCGCTGCGGAACGATCTTTGGAGCCTCTTGAATTTCGTGATTCGTGACTGGTCAAAAACAGCAACAGCGAAAGGCAAAGCAACGACCGACATTTAGTTGAGCAAGCGACTGTTCGTTGTTGGGTTTCGCGATGAGGAGACTTGCTCCACAGCGCAAGAGGCGACTCTCAGGGCTCATCCTTTGAGCAGTGAGGGAGCTCTCACATCGAGCAGCTCGAAGATGAGCGGAGCTTACTGTAAAGGTCCGTTGTGGGACCCGAGTTTTTGGAGCGACGAGCCCCCGGTGCTTACGGAATGCTTCGAGGACACAGTGCTTGTTTTTGTACCCACGCTGTTTGTTTTAGTCGGCGGCGGAATTCAATTGTGCATGCGACGGACTTGGCCTGGAAAAACACTGCCGATCACAGCCGTGCACATTGCGAAAATACTGACTAGTGGTGCTCAGATGCTGCTCCACTCCTATGGAGCATTCTACGCTCTGAACGGTGCTTCCTCAAACATTTCAAGCTTCATCAACGATCTCCTGAGGACCATAAACTTTCTCATAGTGTTTGCTCTCCAAGTCAGCGATCGTAACCGAGGGATATCTAGCTCAGCCTTCCTGACGGTCTTTTGGTCGCTTGAGGTTATCTGCGAGCTCCCGATCTACTATCGTCATCTGCTCAGTGTATACGGTGCCGATACAAGGCACACCGTGCTACCGCAGAAAACAGGCTTCACGATCGAGATGCTCAGCTATCCACTCGTCGTACTTCAGTTCGCTCTGGCGGCTATCTCCGAGGACACCCCACCCCGGGGAAGGTTCCAAGCGAAGCACCGTCAAGCTCAAACAGTGTCGCCGCTGGCTACGGTGTTTTTCAATTTTTTCTCGGATCTCGTGTATCGCGGAAACAGCAAGCCACTGTCCATGAACGAGTTACCGCCTATAATTGACTCGATGTGTTCGGCGAACTGCTACGAGGAGTGGAAACGCACTGAGAATTCGTTCAAGTCATCAGGCCGGAGCGTCAACCTCTTGAAATCGATATTCCTGACCTACTGGTCAACTATATTGGGAGCTCTGATTTTGTTGGTTCTGTTCGTCGTGATCCGCCTGAGCTCCTTCCTGGCTCTGAACGAGCTGATTTTATTCCTGACAGCGCCCGGTGAGCCGACGTGGAAGGGCTACGTCTACGCGATCCTGATATTTTTGTCGTACAACATCTCAACGACGCTGTTGCGATGGGGCGATTACATTCTCATTCTGCTCGGGAATCGAACCAAATCACTGTTGATAGCCGCCATTGTCCGGAAGTCCTTGCGAGTCGACGGGAATCACCTGGGGAAATTCACGGTGGGCGAGCTCGTCAATCTCCTGTCAGTAGACGCAGATAAAATTTACCAGTTCGCAAACTACGCCGGCACAGTTATCCGATGTCCGATCTACGTTGCGCTCTGCACATGGCTCCTATGGAAATTCCTCGGACCGTCGTGTCTCGCTGGCATCTCGATAATAATCATCATGACGCCGATAACGGCGCTCGTCGCTAATCTGAGCAGGAAAGTACAGTCGAAGCAGATGGGTCTGAAAGACACCAGACTCAAATACATCAGTGAGATTCTATCGAGCATAAAAATCGTTAAGTTCTACGGTTGGGAACCGCCATTCGTGAATCGGATACAGAACGTCCGCAAAGAGGAAAACGACTATCTGAACACTTTTGCTTATCTCACGGCAACGCTTCGTTTCTTCTGGTCCGTAACCCCTTTCCTTGTGAGTCTCTTCGCATTCGTAACCTACGTTCTCGTCAACGACCTCACCACAATCGATACGAACGTAGCCTTCGTATCTCTCGGTCTATTCAACAGTATGCGTTTTTCGCTGGCTACGATCCCTGACGTCATATCGAACGGTGTCCAAACCCTGGTCTCCGTGCGTCGAATAGAGGGATTCTTGCGAGCCAAGGATCTCGAGGAAAAGGTTGTGGGAAACTCACCCGGAGCCGGGAACGCTGCGAGATGGATAAGCTCTTCGTCGAGTTGGACAGGCAAGGAATCCGAGCTGACGTTGGAGAATATCGATTTGTCCGTAAGAGCCGGACAACTTGTCGCTATTGTAGGGAAGGTCGGCTCGGGAAAGTCGTCGATGCTGAATTCTCTTCTCGGCGACATCAGATCGATGCGAGGAAGCATCGACCTGTCGGGCAGCGTAGCTTACGTTCCTCAACAAGCCTGGATTCAAAACGCAACCATCAAACAGAACATTCTCTTCACCGAGGAATTCAACAAGTTTTTCTACAAACAAGTTCTTTCGAATTGCTGCCTAACCACAGATCTCGGGATTCTCCCACATGGCGACCAGACAGAAATCGGTGATAAAGGTGTCAACTTGAGCGGCGGCCAGAAGCAACGTATTTCGCTGGCCCGAGCCGTGTACATGGATCGAGACGTGTATTTGCTCGACGATCCGCTAAGCGCCGTCGATGCCCACGTCGGCTCGGCCATTTTCCAGGATGTTATCGGGAACACCGGTATGCTGAGGGAGAAGACGCGGATTTTTGTGACGAATATGCTCTCTGTCCTCCCGAAAGTCGATCGGATCGTTTTCATGAAGGAGGGGAAGATCAGCGAACAGGGCACCTTCGACGAACTGAGGAACTCGGTCGGAGAATTCGCGGAATTTCTCAAGGAACACGCGAAGAGCAGCGAAAGAAAATCAGAACCGGACCTGGAACCGCTCCTTATAAAGGAATCGTATCCGCGATCGATGAGCGTCGTCTCGGGAGACAGCTTGCAGGTGTTCGGGGATCCGCCGGAGCGAAATCTCACCGCGGACGAGGGCATGCAATCGGGATCGGTCAAGCGGTCGGTCTATACGAACTATCTATCAAAAATAGGAGCTCTCTCGTGCTTGTTGATTCTGGCAGGCTTCGCCGGAGCCCGAGTGTTCGATGTTTACAGCGGAATTTGGCTCAGCGAGTGGTCGAGCGACTCGCCCGAGAAAAGCGACGAGAATTACGCCCGGCGAACACAGCGAATCCTCGTTTACGCGGCCTTGGGTTTATTCTACGGCCTCTTCACGTTCGTCGGGTCCGCTTTTCTCGCCAACGGTACCCTGAGAGCCGCCCGGAAATTGCACAACGGCATGTTGAACGCGATAGTTAGAGCACCGATGAGCTTCTTCGACACCACACCTCTCGGTCGGCTACTGAATCGCTTCGGCAAAGACGTCGATCAGCTCGACATTCAGCTCCCAGTGGCGGCGAATGTTTTCTTCGACATGTTCTTCCAGCTCATGGGGGTCTTGGTGCTGATTTCGGTCAACGTTCCGATTTTCCTCTTGGTGTCGGCTCCCTTATTGCTCCTGTACGTGGTTTTCCAAAGGATCTATATGCGTACGGTCCGTCAATTGAAGCGCATGGAAGGCGTCAGCCGATCACCAGTCTACAACCACTTCGCAGAAACACTCTACGGCTTGAGTAGCATCAGGGCGTACCGCGCGGAGGATCATTTCATAGCGAAATCAGATTACAAGGTCGATTTGACACAGAATTGTACTTACCTCCTTTTCGTCGGAAGGATGTGGTTAGCTACTCGGCTCGAGCTCATCGGGAACTTTCTCATAGCAGCCTCTGGAATCCTGGTCGTGCAGCAGAAGGGAATCATGGATCCCGGCGTCGGAGGCTTCGTGGTTTCTTACTCCATGGGAGCCGCGTTCGCTTTCACTCTCATCGTACATTTCGCATCGGAAGTCGAAGCGGCAATCGTCGCCTCGGAGCGCATCGATGAATACACGGTCGTGGAACCAGAAGCACCGCTGAAGACGGATCTCGATCCTGGAGATTCTTGGCCGGACAACGGAGAAGTTGTTTTCGATAAATACTCGACCCGATACCGAGAAGGATTAGAATTGGTTTTGAAACAAATTGACCTGAACATACGACCTTGTGAGAAAATCGGAGTCGTCGGTCGAACTGGAGCAGGAAAATCATCCCTCACGCTGTCCCTCTTCCGAATTATCGAAGCTGCCGAGGGCCATTTGCTGATCGACGGTATCGACGTGGCCAAACTCGGGCTGCACGACCTCCGACCGCGTCTCACAATCATTCCCCAAGACCCCGTGATATTCTCAGGATCTCTCAGAGTCAATCTGGATCCGAATGACGTGCACACTGATGAGGAGCTCTGGGACTCCTTAGACAAGGCTCACGTTAAGGAGCTATTTTCCATGGAGGGTTTGCAAACGCAGATAGCAGAAGGCGGCGCAAATTTGTCAGTGGGTCAGCGACAACTGATTTGCTTAGCTCGGGCCATCTTGCAGAAGAAGCGAATTTTGGTCATGGACGAGGCCACGGCTGCTGTCGATGTAGAAACTGACGCCCTCATTCAAAAAACGATTCGCGCGGATTTCGCCGATTGTACAATAATAACCATCGCGCATAGGCTCAACACGATATTAGATTCGGACCGTGTAATCGTCATGGAAGCCGGCAAAGTTGTCGAAGAAGGTTCTCCTAAAGCTCTCCTCGCGGATCCGTCGTCCCGCTTCTACGACATGGCGCTGGAGGCTGGCTTGGTGGAAGGAGCCCAGGCACCCTGAAATTCACAAATCTCCGGAAAAAGTTCCACCGCTCCTTCTCCGGAGAAACCCTATATCCAGAAATAAAAAGGACAATTTTCTGCCGAAACTCCGAATTTTTTGAAAAAAGAATGTTTCTCTACACCGCCATTTTCCAAAATTCCTCTCATCCCCTACGCGCACGCGCTCCGACCTCTCCGCGGTGAGTTACACGATGACGAGCTCAGTTGCGAAACTCTATCCTTCCCCGATCGCTCAGATCGAAGAGTCGGAGTTTCCTCTTCCTCTCTGCCGAGACTCACGAACTCGCTCTCCGGCACGCCTCCAAGACTATGGCAGAACCATTCTCTGGGCGCGGTGATGAGCACGATCATTACTCGCAGAACTTCCAAATCGATCGTAGCGGGAAGTCGCCAAGTATGATGCGAGATCAGGGCTCGGAATCGTAATCATCGTTTTGGGGATTCTTTTCATGAGCTAGATGCATCAAGTCATGCTGATGCTAATGAACATTGCGATTCGGGCAGGATGCGCCAAGAACAGGAAAACTGTTTCCTCGGAATCGCGAGATGTATTGTCAACGTCCGGGGATCACTTGACATTCGGAGGCTTTGAAAGAACACGTCTCCCGCTACCACGGAGATAGCCGAGCCGGTCGCTTTTAGACAGCAGCAAAACAAAGGAGAAGTAGATTACAATTATTATCGTTCGAGAAAGCGACTGGCGGACTCTTGGCCTCTATCGAGAAGCGATCCCGAAAGGAGGCGGAGAGCGGTCCCCGAACGTACCAGCTCCGTCCAGGATTGGCTAGCCACTCGAATGGAGCCATCGGACCTACTCGAATTCACGGAGTTGGATTGATCCCTGAAAAAAATGGGTACCCATGGGCTCTCGGAGATTTTGGATGTCCGAGGACGCGGTGCGGCCAACGCACCCGAACACGCACAAAAAGCCCAGTCTCGAGAGGAGAATAATCGTACGGAGCTCTTCGTACAATAAGGAACGATGTCTTCTCCGAGCTCGATACATATCATTCCCATCCGGGACGGTCTCCCTCCCGCTGAGGATAGAATCTGAATTTAGAGAAATCCATGAGTTTTGGTCTGTAGGTATCCGCCTCCTCGCCAGACGACTCCCTCTAAGTTTCAAGCAGGGAACAATGATCTTATTTCCACGCCAGAAACGATTTCGTCTACGTATGGGGGGGTCAGTCGTGGAGAGAGCCTTCTACTAAAAGTCTCACGAGCAACCTCTATCGAGTCTTCTGAGTCTCTGAGAATTTCCATGAACCTCCACTCTATAACAGTGTCGACTGGAAAAAGATGCCTCCAGCTCAAGCGGCTGGAAGCGGGGGAATCGACCTTATTCTACGAAATAGTATAGTGCTCTGAATAATTCTCACTGCACCTAGATGATTCCGCGAATCTCATGTAGAGGAATCCGGGGCATCCTCCGAGGAAATCAACCGGATAGAGGTAGAGACACCGATCGGCGAGATCGATTTGTTTTCCTGGCGCGGGGAAATGTTCCCGAGGAGATGTCTCGCGATGTGCCTGATCTGATGCCCTTCCCCCCCTCCCCTTCGGATAGAGCGCACTAGAAAGGGTCGCCGTAGTATCCTTCAGAGCAGGATGTCATCGGGAGTCTTGTCGATGGCAATTATCTCGCGATATCTAGATATCACTTGTATATGCGGTAAACTTGAGCACGATCCGCCGATTAAAATCTCCACCGGGGATCAAGCGAGATTTATTCGAGACCTTCGACCCTTGCCGACAACGTGTGCGATCTCCGGAATCGATTCTTAACTTGCTGATCACGTCTGCCCCTTCTCGTAGGGAACAAAATTTAGCCAGAGTGCGCAATCGATGAAAGGATTCCCTGGGAACACCCAGACCAACTTGCGGTAGCTGTGCGTGAGCCATGCACGTAACACCGAGACAGGATTTTTCCTCCCTTCCCGGTTCGAGACATCTAGATGTCTTGAAAGCTCCGCATCGAGGACTCCTCGACACGGATGATAGCCATCGGGGGCTCTGCAGGAAGCTCGAGCGAAGAATCGACGTTTCCCCGACACCCCCGGCGTGTTTCGACTTCTGAGAGCTCCGAAGGTCCGGACCCACGCACCGGTATCCGTTGAGTGCGAGACCAAGAATCATCGAGTGTCGATTTTCGGTCCTCCCAGCGATATACTCGAGGAAGAAGAAACGTGAACTTCCCAGATGTCCTCCTGAGTCCTTCAGGTAGGCACAATGCGACCGGAGCTGAGCGCGAACCCCTTCTGGCGAGTCGGATCCTGCCGGGAGGAGCTCCCGGCTTCGACGGAATGCTTCGAGAAAACAGTGCTCGTATCCGTTCTCGCTATTTATATGCTGTGTGGTGGACCGATCTATCTCCTGATGCACAGAAAACGTCCCAGGCGACCTTCACCCGTCACTGCTCTCTTTCTTGCAAAAATCATCACGAGCAGCTTTCAAGTCTGTCTCCATTCGTATTCGGCCTACGTCGCGGCGTCGACTGCCATTAGCTCCGTGTCGGACTTCCTCGCCCCCCTATTGAAGACCCTGATATTCTCGATGGTCATCAGCATTCAGATCGCAAATCGCTGCAAAGGGTTTCGGAGTTCAGCTTTTCTGACGGTCTTCTGGATATTGGCGATGCTATGTGAGCTCCCAGCGTACTATAGAACTTTATTGACGGTTTTCGGACCGGCGAGAACGAGCTTCGCTCTACCGACAATGTCCGAGGCCACAATCACCATGATGACTTATCCGCTGATTCCAATGCAGTTCTGCCTGGACACATTCAGCGAGAAGTTCCCCGAATCGAGCCCTGAGCTGAAGCGTCGCAATCCAATATACTCCGCCTCCTGTGTTTCGAAGGTGTTCTTCGAGTTCTTCTCAGATGTCGTTATTGCCGGATACCAAAAGGTACTGTCGTTCGAAGACCTCCCGGACCCGATCGAATCAATGGATTCCTCGTCGAGTTTCAAGGAATGGGAAAGCAGCGGGAAGAATCTCAGGGACCCCGGCGCGAGAATCAACCTGATCAGAACGCTTTTCAAGACCTACTGGCCGCAATTGACGGTCGTTTGGACCCTGGAAACGATGTACGTCAGCCTAAGAATCACCTCTTTCTTCGCGTTGAACGAGGTGTTCATCTTCCTGAACGACCCCGATGCACCCGCGTGGAAGGGCTTCGTGTACGTGTCGATCATTTTCATCGTGTACAGCGTTTCTTCGACCCTCATGAGATGGGCGGATTTCTTCCTCTTGTCGCTCGGAATCAAGATCAAGTCGGTTCTCATCGCAGCGATTGTGAGGAAGTCCCTCCGAGTGGATAGAGCTCTCCTCGAGAATTCCACCGTCGGCGAATCGGTGAATCTGCTCGCGGTCGACGCGGACAAGATCCATCAATTCTCGAATTACGTCGGGAACCTCATAGGGTGTCCGTTTTACGTGGGTCTCTGCACCTGGATGCTGTGGAACTTCATCGGACCCTCGTGCCTCGCGGGTATCTCAGTAATTCTATTGATGATGCCCGTAACCGCTGCCGTAGCAGGTCAGAGCCGGGCTGTCCAAGCAAAACAGATGGCTTTGAAGGATTCGAGACTCCGATACATCGGTGAGCTCTTGTCGAATGTGAAGATTGTGAAATTCTACGTTTGGGAGACGCCCTTCGTCTCTCGGATACTAGGAGTCCGCAACGACGAAAACAGGGAGCTCCGGAAATTCGCCTACTGGACGGCCGTTCTCCGATTTTTCTGGTCCGTTTCGCCGTTCCTCGTTTCGCTGTTCGCGTTCGTATCGTATCTACTCGTGAACGATCTGACGAAGATCGATGCCAACATAGCATTCGTCTCGCTGGGGCTCTTCAATAGCATGCGTTTCCCGCTGGCATTGATTCCGGACGTGATCTCGAACGGTGTTCAGAGCTTAGTGTCTGTTCGCCGGATCGAAAGCTTCTTAAATGCGGGAGATCTACAGGATAATGTGATAGGCGATCGGCCTGGATCTAGAAACGCGGCACGATGGCGGAGCGCGTCACTAAGCTGGGAGCGATCGGAAACCACTCTCAGGAACATTGATCTCAGTGTCGAAACCGGCGACCTGGTAGCGATCGTCGGAGAAGTGGGATCTGGAAAATCGTCGCTGTTGAACTCTCTGCTGGGCAACATGAAACTCTTGGCGGGATCGGTCGACCTCGCGGGATCCGTTGCCTACGTCCCTCAGCAGGTCTGGATACAAAACGCGACGATCAAGCAGAACATCGTGTTCACTCAGGACTTTGACAGGAAGCTCTACGAGAGGGTGGTTCGTAGATGTTGTCTCAGCTCCGATTTGAGAATTCTTCCCGGTGGCGACAACACGGAAATCGGCGAAAAAGGTATCAACTTGAGCGGTGGTCAGAAACAGAGGGTTTCCTTGGCCCGAGCCGTTTACCAGGATCGAGACGTGTACCTCCTTGACGACCCTCTGAGCGCGGTGGACGCCCACGTCGGCGCCGCCTTGTTCCGGGACGTTATCGGAAACAACACGGGCATGCTGAAGGACAAAACCCGCCTTCTAGTGACGAACACCCTTTCTGTACTGCCGAATGTTGATCGGATCGTCGTCTTGAAGCATGGGGAAATCGTCGAGCACGGAACCTACGCAGAGCTCCGAGACTCGAAAACCAGTGAATTCGCCAAACTGCTCAGAGAGCATGAGAAAGCAGATCGGCGGGAAGCTCCGGAACGTGAACCCTCCGTCGATATCCGAGACGAATGTATAGACAGTTCGTTGGGCTGGTCGTCAACATCGAGCTCGATCGATCATTATTCCAAAAGGGCGGGCTGCGAACTCATTTCAGAAGAGACGATGCAATCGGGTTCGGTGAAACTTTCCGTTTTCACGAAGTATCTCTCGAAGATGGGATTCCCACTCCTACTGACCATCGCGCTGGGTTTCGCTTCAGCACGAGCTTTCGACGTACTGAGTGGCATATGGTTGAGTGATTGGTCGAACGACGAACTCGGAAGAAACTCCGAACACTACGCTCAACGCACCAAGCGCATTCTCGCTTACGCCGCCTTCGGGCTCTCCTACGGTATATTAACTTTTGTTGGCGCCGCTTGTCTTGCCCACGGCACTCTGAGTGCTGCTAGAAAGCTGCACAATCGGATGCTGAACTCGATTATCCGAGCACCGATGAGCTTTTTCGACACGACGCCGCTGGGTCGCTTGTTGAACCGCTTTGGCAAGGACGTAGATCAGCTAGACATTCAGCTACCGGTGGCGGCGAACGTTTTTCTGGACATGTTCTTCCAAGTTGTGGGCGTTATAGTTTTGATCTCGGTCAACGTACCTTCGTTCCTTCTGGTGGCTATCCCCCTTCTCGCAGTTTTCGCTTACGTACAAAAGGTCTACATGAGATCCATACGACAAATCAAGCGCATGGAAGCGGTATCTCGTTCTCCAGTCTACAATCATTTCGCGGAGATGCTCAACGGCTTGGACAGCATAAGAGCTTATCGAGCGGAATCTTACTTCGTGAGCACTTCGGACTCGAAAGTCGATATGACTCAGAACTGCTCGTTCCAACTGTCCGTCGGGAAGCTCTGGCTGAGAACCCGCCTGGACATGATCACAAACTTTCTCATTCTGGCGGCAGGCGTTCTGGTCGTTCACCAGAAAGGCACTGCGGATCCAAATGTTGCCGGATTCGTCATCTCTTACACCATGGGAGCAGCGTACGCATTCAACATGATAGTTCACTACGCGTCGGAGGCCGAAGCGTCGATTGTTGCATCCGAAAGAATCGAGGAATACGTGGACGTTCCACCGGAAGCACCGTGGAAAACGAATTGCGTGCCAGATGACTCATGGCCCGCCAGTGGCTGCGTAACGTTTGAAAATTATTCTACGAGGTATCGTGAGGGCTTGAATTTAGTTTTGAGCGACGTCGATCTCCGAATCCGGAGCGGGGAGAAAGTAGGGATCGTTGGTCGCACCGGAGCGGGGAAATCGTCCTTAACTCTCTCGCTCTTCCGTATGATCGAAGCAGCTGCGGGTCGGCTCATCATCGACGACATCGATGTGGCGCAGCTGGGACTCCATGATCTCCGACCGCGCCTCACTATCATACCGCAGGAGCCCGTGATTTTCTCCGGGACACTCAGAGTCAATCTAGATCCCAACGATGAGTATACCGATGGGGAGCTGTGGAGCGCGTTGGAAAAAGCACACGTCAAGAAACAGTTCGACTCGAACGGTTTGGAAACCGAGATCTCAGAAGGGGGCGCCAACCTCTCGTTGGGCCAACGACAATTGGTATGTCTGGCCCGAGCCATACTGCGCAAGAAAAAAATTCTCGTCATGGACGAAGCTACGGCCGCGGTGGATGTGGAAACCGATGCTCTCATCCAGGAGACAATACGGAACGATTTCTCCGATTGCACAATTATCACCATCGCCCACAGACTCAACACGATAATGGACTCGCACACCGTGATTGTCATGGAAGCCGGAGCCGTCGTTGAGAGAGGATCGCCTGACGCTCTCCTCCGAGACCCTGAGTCCCGCTTCCACGCCATGGCACTCGAGGCTGGTCTCTTGGCCGACGCGAGGACCCCGGCCGAGAAAAGAGCACAAAAGGAGCCGGATAATTGAGTGTCGAAATCTCGTGAACTCTGAGGCGCACCGATGGCCGACTCAGGGAATAAATTCTAAATCCGAACTCCTCTTCGAATATTTTCTCTGTAGAAGCTCCACGATTACTCCATTGTCATTTACGATTCGCGATGCGCAAATAGCCAACAGTATCGAAACTTTCCTCGGTCCTTCCCGTAGACTTCCCTCGCTGAACAATACTGTATCTTGAACTGTCGCCTCTGCTGCGTCGTAGTCCATCCTCGATCGGGCTCCGGAAGGCTCCGGGTGAGAGTCTCTTGACTCGAACGACAAAATGAGCACGCTTGAAAATGCAAAGCTAAGAACACTCTCGATTGCGGCTCAACTAGAGCTGCACGAGGCTAGCCGTGAGATGTATTTCAATGTCAGCCGTGATTCAATGTGTGTGCAGACGGAGGGAGAGCGGAACGATAGCGAGAGAGAAAGCGTGCGAGGCTTAAGGAGATCAGTTTCATCCTCGTCGGACTCCTTTGTCGCTCGCTCGCAGAGAGAAGTGCGTAGTAGATCCATAGCATTCGACGACTACGACGAATGAGCCTGTTATTTACATAAACATTCGGACACCAGGGAGTTTGGATGTGAATGGAGACGAAGATAAAGAGGCGAACAGAGGCAGAACTCTCTCTGCTCGCTTAGATTACTTGGCAATGGAATGCGAGCAACACAACAGATCTGAAAGTAATTTCCACGAGGCCTTTCTGCCGTCTCTTGCAAACGAGGGTGGATCTCTGTGGAGACGTCGCTCAGCGGTCAGGAATCGTTTCCGAGATATAGCAATCCTTGTCACTCGAGTTCTGCACCTTCGAAAACTATCGGCTTCGCGATGGCCTCAATGATATCATTCCATCTGAGCGGGGAAAATTCCTGGAAGCTCCCGGATTTCCAGATCTTCTCGGGAAGGCGGTCTGGGCAGTCGGCGTCAGTGAGGGGAACGACTCCATCCGCCCCGACTGCATATACCGTTGTCGGGTCTCAGGCGATATCCGAGGAGTTGAAGTTTAGCTGTCCGCCCCGGAGAGGAATTTCCTCGTAATTGCACTCCCGATCAATCGACCTAGGTTAGAGCAGACTAGCGACCCAGCTGAATCGAGTCTCGCTGGCTTTCCCCCGAGCATACATGGTGGTGAGGTATCTTGGAGAGGAGTTATCGCTCAGCACAAAAAGCAGTTTGCGGTGGTTTCCCGGGCTCATGGAACTAGTTCGGAATGGCCGCATTCCTTAGCGTCAAAATTAAAGGGCTTGCTTTAATAAGCGTCATATTTCGCTGAACCTGAGATTCGAGCTGAACTCTCGAAACATCCGAGCCACTTAATGAGGTCCATTGAGGCTTCCGTCCACAAAGAAGAAACTCGCAAACTGGGGACAAGAGGGACTGGGGACTAAGACCGAAGCGGTGCATGGTATCGCATCGCTCATCAAGAATGTCTTTGCATTGGCCAATGGGAGCATGATTGGTCCCTCGGAGAGTTGAAGCGGCAGCCGTTGCACTTCTGAGCCGGTAAACATGTACGGGCAGAAAGCATCTCTTTCACGGGGAAGAGATTACTCAGCCGCCCAATTGAATAGCTCTTCGATGCTTATACAACGAGCGATTATAGTTCACTTGTCAGCGGGCGCCCCCGAGACTCCCCCGACTATTTTTCCGTCCCAGCTCCACCGACGATTGGCATGGTCCCTGACAAACTTCAAAAATGCATTCCCTTCGCAACAATCGATGAAAGTCCTTTGCCGAAGATGGCCGGTTTCTGAGTGGATGTCTCGAGTTTCCTACATCTCCAGGGATGAGCTTTCACTTATCCCTTCTGCATGATCCGAGATTCCTCAATAAGAGCGAAGGCGCCTCTCCGTGGAGCTCCAAGGGCGGATCTCACCTCTCCACAATCATACTTTCACGTCTCCAACTTCCGCCGTGATTCTCTCACTATTTCTCCGCGAATGCAATCGGTCGCACGAGGGGACTTTCTGCTAATAAGAGACTGCCAAGAATGGAGAAGAGGTCTCGCCGCTCGGCACGGCTCACAGTGGAGAACACACAAGCGGTGAGATAATCATTCCCCAAGCTTTACGTGATCAGAGAAGTTTCTCGCCGCGGATCCTTCACTTTCACAACTTCCGTGCTCGAAATTCACATAGACTACTTGAGCCTGAAATTCCCCGTCGCACAGGGAGGTCATCTTATCCTTCAGAAAGAAATGATTGGTATCCTTAGATTCAGTAAGTCCACGGTGAGTACGTACATGAGAATTGCTGAGCTCTCGCGCAATCGCCGCCCCGCACCCCTATGATCTCGAGCCCAGTAACCTGAGCCCGGAGACTCCCCTTGTCATGCTGTTTAATCAGAAATCCCTCCTAGACATCGAATCTCCCGCTAGCAGGTTGTCTCGAGAGGAGCATACAGTCAACAATCATCGATCGGGGGGAACCACGACACGACTCGAGCGACGGAATTCGAAAAATCGTATCTCCCGCTCAGGGGTTCCTGAGACGCGCGTGGCGAAATGTCAATATTGCGCTCCTTTCCAGCAGTTACTAAACCGAATTCCGATCATTGTATGCGAAAATGTACGGAACGTACGCCTCTCGGCCATTTTGTTCGAGAAAAGGGTCTTCGTCAGTCATTCGCACACCTCAGTTCCAGGCGAGCGGCGGAGTCGCCGTCTGGTCAAAGTGAGTCGGAATCAATCGTGCCACGATACACCGAGCCCAAACAGATAGGCGATAGCTGTGATCTTCCTTAGCCATTCGGTTCTCGCCGGAAAATGATCCTCGTCTGCACTCCATCTGATTCGCTAGTCGGAGGTTTTCCCTCTGACCAGGAGCTCGGAAACCCTATCCCGTATCAGGGACGACCCGAGTTTTGTCGATCAAAATCAGCCTCTTTCTCGTTCTCCTCGTCAGAACTGACGAGCAAAACGAGTGCGCTGCTATGCTTCGACAAAGACGATAAAGGTGGAACAGCCTTATTGGCAGCGATTGTCGGAGCCCACGGTGGCACCAGCGCTTTAATAAGTGGTTATCTTATGGAACATCGAGATAACAAGCATGGCCATAAAACAACAAAAGCCGTTCTCAAAAAGAAACCCAGAACGAAAAGCTCCTAAAGCGACCGAATTATCACCATGCATCTTCTCGTCCTCAAGCCCACAGCTCTCGTGTGGCGACGGGTATCTAGTCTTTACGCGGAGCGCTTGGAGTGAAGGAGTCGGCGGAGACCAAACCACTCAACGAGTACGAGGCTCCCCGAGATCTGTCGTATGGTTTAAATAAACGGCCAAAACCTGAGTACGAGTAAATAGGAGATGCTCTCACGACACGCTGCTCTCCGTGGTGATTATCGCCACCTATAGGTATAATAAACCTGACTTAACCCGAACTTGGCGGAGGAGCTCTATCATATTTAGGTATCCGTTGGCATTAAAGCGATCTCGCTGGGGGCGCCCTCATGAGTGTGTGTGATAAAGCGGAAGACAGCGGAGAAAATCAGCCGCATGCCGACTGTCGACTCGACAGACAACAGCAGTGTCGAGACTGTCGAGTTTCTTGGATCTCCTGATTTGCGAGACCGCAACATTATGCCACGAGCCGTTCTGGAGCGCTCCTGACGTAGAATCTCACCGATGAGCTTGCTTGGCGCCCTGCCGTACTGATCCGACGCGGATGAAGCTTACGAGCGAAAAATGAAGTTTGTGGAAACTCGTGTATCTAGATGGAGACGCTCTGAGTGGAACCCGAGGGAGCCAATCCCGAGTAGCTCATCTCGGGTTCATTCCAGATCAAAGAACCAAACCCGGTCTTCTGGCGAAACCTGCGGTCACTTCCGTGGAGTAATCGAGGTCGTACGATTCTAAACCCATCGGCGAGCATCACCCGAGATGGCTGTCTCTCTGTCTCATCAATCACCGAGCTTACTCGACGGACCCCGCAACCGTAATATGTGGATAGGGGGGTTGCTCACCCACGAGGTGCTCCAGAACCCATGTCGGGTGCTTCTCTCGGGATTAGCCCTCACTACCGGATCAGATCCGTATATAAGCACTCCACTTGCGTTCAATAAACACAGACGACAAATGACGCTTGTCCGTAAACGCTACCCTTATGTTTCCTGATCTATCCTCGGAAGCTATTGGTCTGGTCAGTGGTCTGGCACGAACAGTGATGATCCCATTGAGCTAGTGACCAACCTCGAGTGTTTACTCGTTGCCCCAACTAGATCGGAATCTAGTTCTATCAAAGTTCATTCATTATGAAAACTCCCGGCCTATAGCCGGTTGGCCTACAGAAATGATCCGATTCCGAATCCGAATCATCGAGAAGAGAAAAGACCCTTGGACTCCGTCCAAGCTCCTGAGAGAGCCCTAGGCGCGCGCCTGCTCTGGCGCTCGCTGCTCCATATCCAGCATACGCAGTCATCAGCCCATGCGTATCCTGGTTCGCAACCGTAGGCAGCATATAGCGCATAGCTGCTGTTTACAAACATAGCAGACCATTGGCGAGAAGGAAATCGCGGTTCGCAGCCGAACAGGAGTCAGCTGTGCTCTTCCGAATTCTGAGTTGTGCATAAATTCTCTGGTGAAGAAAAACTCCTGGCGTTGTGGCGTTGAAGAATTCTAGAAGATGGCCCCCATATTAGATACGTCATTCGAAGATGCTCAGAAGCGAGCCCGTGATTTCCTTCAGAAGAAAGAATCAAAGCAACGACGATCGCTTCTGAACGAAGACGTCAGTATTCACGAGGAGACGACTCCCTCCGAGAAAGTTCCGTCTCTTTCCTCAAGCCTGGTTAGCTCGGAGAATGCCAGTACACCGGAGGAATACAAACGGCGTCTCCAGCAACGTCGCCTCGACGATATCATTTTGAGTTCCCCGCCTGGAAAGATTCAATGGCCATCAGAGCAGCTCAGCTTCGATGCGAACTCGGATTCGCCCGAGAAAAGAATCCAGGAAACGAACGACAACTTCAGAGAGCGTTCCGCAATTTCTGTCCACGAAGAGGCCGAGGAGCGACTACGCATGGAGGCGGCGAGGATGCGAGCTCTCGAGGAGCGCGAACTCTTCCAGCTATATGAAGAAGCCGACAGACACGCTCGGGAAGAACATGAAAAGTTCCTGAAGCGGTACACGGAGCTGCAAAACGCCCTCGAAATCCAGTACAGACGGGATCAGGAGCGAATATCTTTGGAAATCACGGAGAGGAAGCAGGCCTTGTTAGTGAGAGCCAAACGCGACAGTGAGCTTCTCGTCCAGCTGCATAAAACTCTGTCCGAGAAGTCCGCCGAATCGGCGAAAGCTTTCGCGGCGAAATCCAAGGAAATCATTCACCTGACGGAAAAAGCGAAACAAGAAGAAGAAAAGATTCTGAGACAGAAGGAGGCTCGTATCCTGAGGGAGAAGCACAAGACTAAGATATCAGAAATTATCTCGACCATCGATCAATCGATCGGTACCTTGCAAAAAGATCTCCCGGAATCGCAGAGTGCTAAGGAAGAACTCGCCAAAGTGAAGAGCTCGCTTCAAGATCCCGCGAATCACGAGAATGCTGCTGTTTTTGAGGGAGCTCTGACCGAAGTGAGGAAAATTCTGGACACATATGCGGCGGCACTTCTGGCCCGCGAACAAAAGAAGGTAGAAGAGGCGATCAAAACGCAGCCGAAACGTCAGTCAGAGAATCGGTATCGTCAAGCAGTAGAGAAGCTAAAACAAAACGCTGAAATCTTCACTAAATTCATAGAGGAGAATAAACTGCTCCGAACAAAAATCACGCGTTTCATCACGTTGACGGTGAACAAAATCCAGAAATCGACCAACAATCAAGAGCATGCGCTAGCTCTCGTGAAGCTCTTCAGCAGCGACGACGTCCGGTATGGCCTCGCGACCGACATCGTGAACTTGTCCGGCAACAAGGAAGCTGTGACTTTCTCGATGGACTTGACAGCGAAGAAAATCCTGGACAGTGTCGAGAAGCTCCCCGCGGAACCCATACAGGAATGGGTTCCCCACGCGACCGTCGTTGGCACGCTCTGGTCGACGTCTCCCAAATTCGGTGATATATTCTTCAACAATCTGGTCTCCCGCTGTCCATTCCTGGTCCCCGTGTACTTCGACGACCTGACCGCTGAGGAATCGACGACTTACATTTCGAAGTTCGTCCAGTACACAAGCGAGTCTTGGAGCAGTTTCATCCCGCGCATGGGCTACTACGCGAGATTGCTCGGGGTGATATGTACGATGAAACCCCGTTGGGGACCGCCATTCGCACCGGGCAAGATGTGGACACTCTTGGCGAGTACTGTCAAGTGCGAAATCAAAACCAAAGAGGTGGCCGAGGTCGCCGCGATGGTGATGAAGTCCCTTCTCGAAACCTGCGGTCACACGATGCAGGCCTCGTACGGACGTCAGTTCAGCAAATTCATACATCTGACGTGCAAGGAGTTCTACGCAAAACTCACAGAAGTTGCTAAAAACGCACCGTCGGTAATCAGTCTTGAAATTTTTATGAAAGAGGTTGTAACCGCCGGAGGGAAATTCACACCTGTTGTTTGAAACTTCGAGGACAATGGTGTACAAAGACTGTTCATAGGAAGGAGAGAATTTTCTAGAAAGACTCCGAGTCAAAATAACTCAGAGCAGGTTGTCTGGGGTGGTGCCCTATTCGCAGAGTTGAAATAAAGCTCCTGTGTTAGTATGCAGTCAGTAATTTCGCAATTGTTGATCGGACTTCAAATCTCGGGAATCGCCGGATGCTGATGGAAAAGCATGAACAAGCGCTTTTCCAGCGATATTTCAACCAAATGCTCATTGAACAATTTCAGAAGAGCGTTCGCCCAAGGTCTCGTTTACGACGCCGACGCGGGCAGGAGTTCCGTTGAGATCTTTGTTCCGGAAACGCACGCATTAAGATTACATAAGCCGTCACGCCCAAAGCACCTAAACACTTTCGGAAAGAGTCTAAGCGAGCAGGGTTTTAGTTCCACGATAAATACCCAGTCCTTATCGGCATTCTGATATTCTCGAGCAGCAGTACCAGTTCTCCGGAAGCGAAAGGAGGTCTGTGCCCGGCGAGTCACAGCGTGCTAAGCTCAAAATGTTGTCCTCGAGAGTCGCTTCCTTGTCCTTGGTTCTTGTCCTGTTCCTCATCCTGAGCTCCCAACCTTCGGAAGCGGGATCGAAAGGCTTGTTCGGAGGGAAGAAAGGCGGAGGAGCAGGGATTCTGCTTGCAGCTCTAGGAGGAGTGGGCGCTGGCGCCGGAGCTGTAGCATCTGGCTATCTCATGGGTCACGGCGGTCACCATGGTCACGGTCACGATCACGGTCACGGAGGCCATCATCACTACGGAGGCTATAAATGAGTAAATTATCGGTCATACAGAGTACAGAAATAAAATTATATGAGTGTATCCACAACGGTCTTTTGCATTCTGTCGATTTCCGGGATGTTGCAGTCGATAGTCGAAGTTAGAATTCACTCCAGTTTAGAATAGCGAAGCTCCTTGGTGCGGAAATCACGGCGGAAATTCGTCAGGAATTCATATAATGTATATGAAATGCGATAAAATGTTGTGACGGAGCTGTATCCTACCAGGAACGTAACGAGTGAATAAGATAGTTTGCACCGACCGACGGTGATTATGATCAGGGCTCGGGGGCACTTCTCCGCAACTTCTGGAGGGCCTCTCCGCCGGGCCTAATTCAGTAAAAGCCGGTTTTCCTCGAATTTCCGACAGCCGGATGTGCTCGAATCATCAAGGAGTACTCGATCCGGTCTTCGGGCGATGCACGACGCCGCAGCTTGTCTGATTCGTGTACTCGGGATAGATATTCCCTCTCGCGCCAGGGAACAGCTGGAATATTACATAGGCGACAAGACGGCCGTCGGCTTGACGGCCCGGTGAAATCGCCCTGTTCCCGACAGAGTCCTTGGGAACAGTGAGCTCAGTTCAGCTATGAATTCTCGCATTGGAGTTTCTATCCGGAATCGACATGAGACACCGATATCCTCTGTCCTCGATCTGGAAGCCGCATCCTTCGTTGCTCGCGAATTCTCTCTGCGGGACAAGCGGGGCCCTTCGAGTCCGCGATCCTACCGGAGCCGAGTGCCCTCCCCAGATATCGTAGAATCACACTACCTTCTCCTTGATTCCCGAAAAATCAGAAGACAATCGAAGCATGGGAATTCCCTCTGGGAGGCCTTCATTCGCGACTCCCCGCGTCGTCGTCATTGATAGGCAGTAAGGCTGACCACTGACTCATGCTACGTCATGAAGCTCACGGCATCTCCGTGGAAACTTCCTCGTACTTGAAGATTGACTACCCTAACATGTCGTACCTATGTCGCACATCTCATATTCGGGGCTCGCGGACCACGGGATCCCGGCAATCATCATGTCGCCGGCCGATTTTGAGTGAAGCTTGAATGGGAAACCTGAGTCTGGACGTATTGTGTTCATGGCGAGCATGCATGAGCTCTGATTCAGCCTTCGAAAACTAGAGGTCACTGAGTTCGACATGTGTTCGTATGGCGGAAGCTCTATGAGTACAATGGATTTTCGTCAAATCAAGTGATGAACTGATTGAATAGACCGTCGCTTTCGTGCAGGAACTCCCGGGAAAGATGGTTTCCATCGCACCTACAGACGAAGGAAGCAGAATAAAAAGCATAAGCTGAGGTGATCACGGAATCTTACGAGTGCTTTCTGAGGCGTTTACACCGTGAAAGAAGACGCGCGACTATCCGTAGACACCGCGTCGTGATGGCCCGACGAGAGCTTAGAATGGGAATATGAGCTCCAAGGGAAAACCGTCATTCGCTCGCCGCCACCCCCCTGCTACCTGTTTCATCGTCGTGGAAGTGGGCAATATAGTGCCCTCTGGCGAGTTCATGATCGACAGTGGAAACTTGGTAGAATTTGAATTAGAATCGCCGTGGGATCAGAGAGAACTACTATATGGAAACACTCCATTCTCTTTCCTCGGTATAGAGATTTTGAATCTTGACCGAATCTTCCGAAGCGAAAAACATAATGGAATGACCTCTTTTTTGTTCGGAAACGCGGCTTTTCTCTCCTGATCGAGTGCTGTTCCGTATGACACGATCACATTCTGATTATCGTAGATTCTGAAATCAGTCATCTGACCAGTGTTCAGGGAAACGAGGGAACAATTGCGTTGGTAAAGCTTGAAGCCGAGATAATCGCCCAGACACCCATTGTTCCGTGAGAACGAACCGTCACCGGAGCGTTTTCACGGAGGAGTACCGATCAGAAATCACCATTCTGTGAAAAAAACCGTTCAAGTCATTATTCTGTTTGGAAACAACCGCAGGGACCCGAGACGGCTCCGAATCGAAAGTCCGATTGAATCCAGTGGCATTGGAAAATCAACAAATTATGTAATCGTTGCTTGGGGTGAGGTCCTCCAGCAGCGACCCGATATAAGACCATAAGTGAGCAACACTTCCACCGACACCTCACTCACTCAGTATTGGATCGACACGACAACAAGGGGCGCTGAAAACACTCCAAATGCGCTACTCGAGAGTTAGCTGTGTGGCCCTCCTAGGTATTTTGATGCTGTGGTGTCACGGTGTCGAGGGAGGTAAGGGCATCCTCGGTGGTAAGAAAGGCGGAGGTGCCGACCTCCTCATCGCCGGATTGAGTGGAGCGGGAGCCGGAGCTACGGCTCTGATGGCTGGCTTCATGTTGGGCCAGCAGCACCGAGGACACCATGGAGGACATCACAACCACAAAGTGGAACACGTCTACGTTGGGTAGGGAAACTTTCATGCTTCGAACTTTGTTTTCCGCGGAGCTTTTTGTATCGTGCATGTCAAATATGCCGATTGCGCAGACGGGATTCTGGAGTTACTAATTTTCCTTCTCTTCAGTGGTCACTACGGTGGAAAAGGTCACGGATGGTGAGGATGATTCGGTCCCACGCACAATAAATCAACTCGTCAGTCTATCAGGTCCCCATCTCGAATGGTCAGGCCAGCCCTTCGACTTCATCCATGCGATTATGTTCAGTGTCATGTTTGTGTGAAAAGAGACTTTCCTGTCCGGACAGAGTTGTTGTGAATCAGCTGTCATGTTGTGTCTTCTCGAGTTTCCATGTGTCATTCCCATCCATGTCGTCTGCATTCATCATGTATCGTGAAGTGTTGTGTGAAAGTCAAGCGAACTGTAAATAAATAGCCTGTGTAATACTCTACGTAAGGATCCAGCTCTCATGTTTCTCCGCCAGTCTTCGATGTTGCCCGGATGACCCAGGAAGGATCTGATGAGGCCTTCCGAGATCAGTTACTATTCGATTCGTCGGTGGAATTCTGACTCAAAGTGAAAATTCAGCGACTGCCAGCAAATCTGATACGGACATTCAATACTCCGAATGACTCTCGACGGACCAGCTGTCGGAGATCGACTCATTCGTGGGAGATCCGCCGACTGACTGAGTGCTGAATGGCTTTTGAGAATCCTCTGGTCGGGAACGCCATGATTGAGTCCAAGGCTTGGTTTCCGTCCCTCAAGTTCCATTCATCTCTGAGTGAGGCCTAGTTCTCGCGATGCCCGAGCGGGAAGGCAGCTGATTTTGGATAATTCTATCACTAGTGTCGGTCAGCACTTTCATTAGGCCACGTGATGGATTCAGGTACTGATCGAAAATCCATTTCCGTCAGGGAGTCACCGTTGGTCGAAAATCAATCATCAACTCTGAAGTCCACGAATCTAAACGAGCGCGATGCGGATGTTTCGATAGCACGTTTATTTGCTGTTCAAATGGAGACGCGGCTTGAGCCATTCTGATAATGATTATTCTTGTTTTGCGTGGATGAATTGTCTTCGGGGAAGGGACTAACATTTCATGCGCCACGTGACTCACTTCAAGTATTCGGGCATAACAGAGATTTCTATGAAACAGTTTTGATAGAACGGTCATCGGCAGCAGCCACTTCGCCAACACCGGCCGGCCACTGAGGACTTGAATCTCGCAGCGAAAGACGAAGCGGGTCGATTCCGGGGCTCATTCCCCTGAAAAGACTGAGATTCCAGGCGAGAACATGGCGGGCTTGCGTTTCGGAAATCTATCCGCTTAGCTACCGAGTCATGGAACGCTTCCTATTGTACCCAGGGATACCTTCGTAGCTCCGATCGCCTGCGCTTCTCTTGTACATGAGAATATTGATCGCAAGCGAGGCCAGGATCAGAGGGTATGTCGTGGTGTGCAAGTAAATCGATTTCGACGAGAGTTGCGGCACGACCTTTGGACTGAACATGTCCATCCATGTCCTATAATAAGCCGGGAGTTCGCAGACGGAGACCAGGGCCCAATACGAGATGATCAGCGGAGAAGTTTGCTTCCGTACATCTCGGTGTAGGTAGTGCAATACGTGCATAAGTATGCACGAAAGCCAGTGAGTGACGTCATAAACGATAGACGCCAGTGGAACGAAGTGAGTGGCTTCGCCTCGCTGCTCGGCGTACAGAGCAGAGTAGAAGCGGATTTCCCCGAACACGGCAGCGAAGAAAAACGTGACCATCTGGAGGCCAGTCAGAGCGGAACGCGAGAGTTGCAATGGCGTCCAGAGCGATAGCGGCTTCTTTGGCCGAAGAATAACACTATATCGAAAGTATCTTTTGTAGATCCAATGACAACTGCCAATACAGGCGTACACAAATGGTATATAGCACAGAACAGTCCATTCGAAACATCTGCTGAAAGGCGTGAACCACGACTCGAAGAGAATCCACAGATCACTGTCCTCACAAAATTCAAGTCGGTGACCCATACTGGAGCACGATTCGACGATTTGTTTGGATTGGCCGCTCACATGGCAATCTACCACTGGGTAGAGACCGACACCGTCGTTGAGCCTTTGGCGACGAGGAATCAAATCACAACAGATAAGAACCAGTATCGGACTCGCTTTGGAAGCTTCTTCAAAAACGACCTCTTTCGTGTGACCATTCTTTCGAAGAAAAACCTTCGATATGCCCAAGCCTCCCGTTATCAGGAGGATCCGTCGGTCGAGCTCGATTCATTGCTCAACGGGGAGGGCTCCGCGCCATCGGCAACCGTCAACATGCCTCAGAATCGATGGAAGAATGCTGGAGCGACACGAACAGTTCATTCACAAGCTCGGGATACTGCCCCCGGAATGTCGATTCCTCAGCAGCCGGGCGACTTGTTCCGCCTCCTTCTCCAAATTTCCACAGAGAGCCTGTGAGGTTTGAGACTCATGTCAGCTTTCGCTTCTCTCTAACCTCTGTAAGATTCGCTCTTCTTTGGTCATCTCCCAACTCTTCGATCTCAGCTAGGTGGGCAGCTCACTCATCTCCAGAAGAGGATGCTACCGAAGCCGTTCTGGCGTCCGAAAACCCTCTGGTTTCGTCGCTTGTGCTTCCGACTCCGGTCGAGCTCTTCTCTCCGGTAATATTCTGCGCAGCAGTCGTGCTCTGCTCAACAGCGCTTGATTGTTGGGCCAAAATGGGGAGTTCGATATCTCCCCTAAGCTATTCTCGAGGCGATGACTTCCGCGAAAATACTCAGTCTGACCCCGCGACGTCGAGCGGAGTAGGCTGAGAGACTGACCAAAAGCCAGACTGGCTGGCAACAGGATTCGGAGCTTCATGGCGGGCATTCTGCAACGTGGTGAAGGACGAACTGGTCATAATCCGCTTCAAGACAATCGAATCCTCGGGGAAATTTTTGGGCTTGGAACCGCTACCGATGTTCGAGCGGGTTTTGGAACGTCGAGTCGACTAGATCGGCCTCGATCATAGATGTAGTCTTTTGGGTGGTCGGGTGCGGAGCGATCCAGGCGATTCTCCTCAGGGCAGCTGAGGGATTTCGAGCCTACTGGGAGGGTCACCCCATCAGCAGAAGTCCGGATCAAATTTTTCGCCACCATCTGACTGGGAAATAGATGGAGAGCGTGCGACACACCGTTCCTTCAGGCATGAGCCTCGATTAAACACTTGTTATTCACGATCTTCGAGGGCGAAATTCTCTCGTCCGTCGCACCTTCTCCGCGAGTTCGGTACCGAGGCTTCTTACTCACAGCGCCGAGCGGCCTCCAGAGATCCATGAAATATTTCCATGGGACCGGAATCAGAGAGCACCGGGCAAGTCGGATCGCCTGCTCCTAGAGAAGGGGGGGGGGTGGACTGGGGGTGCGTCTCCCCATTCTGACAAGAGAACATCGCACGCTCACGTTAAAAGGGGTCTCGGCTCAAAGTGATGTCTTCTCCCACTCGGCACCGATTCGGGCAGGGATGCTTCAATGAGAATCTCGCTATTCCGTCCTTTTACACGGGAAAGTTCTCTACTGCGCTCTGATATCGAGGAAAGTAGCGGTGTAAGTGTCATATCCTTACATACAGCGCAGCTTGCTCGGCCCGTCCCCTGCCCCTCTCTGGCTCAGAATGTAGTAGTTCTGATGCTGGAATTCAGGCTGCTGAACGGCTCGTGTCTATGTTCGGCTCGCGGAAGGCTCCGTAAATCACAGCGCCGCGTTGAACGCCTGAGTCTAACGTGACCTCATGCAGAAGGGGCATAGAGATAGGCAAAAGTCTGCTGCGCGTTCATTGCGCTGGGGCAACCCATTTTCCTGGAGACTCGACTCATGTCAGGCCGGTTCGCGGGCCCCGTCAGCTGGAAAGCCAACTGTGGAACAAATGTGCAGATTTGTGCTGTGGGAACTATTGAGTCATCCAACGAAGACAACTCAGGAGAGGGCTGCGGGATTTCTGACAATCTTGAGCTCATCGCTGTGGAAACGCTCTTTTTTCGAGAGGGGGATCCGTAAGCAGACACCGATGCGATGATCGTTAGTGGGGCCTTTTGACCTCACCAAAATCCCAACCCGGGCTCAAACGAGCGCAATGTCTGGAGGTGTATGGTTTAGGGATGAGTTTCTACGATTCCGCATCTCGTATCATACGCAGCTCATGTGTTCGATCCGCTGCGAGAACGAATGGAAATGATGTTTGCTCATCGGAGTTTTGGCTGCAGATACATTAGGGAACATCGAGCGACGCGCGAGGGGAGAAGTGAAGGAAGCGGGGCAAGCAAGCGATCGTTCTCTCCGACAAGATGAGGGGGGCGTCGGGAGTAACAAAAGATAGAAAAGAGAGCTTTTATGTTCTTCTCAGAGTCGGCTCGAGATCCACGGGATTTGGCCAAGAGCACGTTTTGCTACATACGGCCGGCGATGCCTCTCTCTCCGCTCGCTAACTTGCTTGAGCGACAACTTGGAGGTTGGCGGCGGATCTGCTAGACTCGCATCAGCTGCTCTTCGCTCCCGCTCGATCTGCTATCTTCTGACTCGCCTCCCTCCGAAGCCCCAGAACATGCAAAAAAAAGTGTTGACGGCGGCGGTAAGATCAGTCGAGGTGGGAAAGACAGGCTCCATCAGGTTTTGTTCATCCACGTCGTCCACGTCATTCGGCCAACCCACATTAGGCCATTTTGGTGGAAAAATTGTCAAATCAAATATTAGACGCTCCGAATATTGTGGCTATCCGTCAAAGTCCGGAGAGTCGCGTGACACATTTTCTTGAATCTGAACAGTTCTCAAGTGCTGGGGAGACAGCCACAATCAATGTCTCAGGAGGATCTCTCGGATCGCTCATTCTTTTTCATAATCTTGCCCCATCAGCTGGAGGGGAAGGTTTTTGCTGGTTCAGATTATAAGGAAGAGAATCCCGGGCCTGCGCTCTCCACACGCTTGTTCCTCTTATTTTCAGACTCTGGATTGTTTTGCCTCATACACTAGGCGCTCAGAAATCTCAGCGACCTGGAGCGCCTCGCGATGGAGAAAAGGATATCAAGGATTCCTGCCATGTATCGATATTTCCGTCCGCATCCGCTCCTTGAGTATACTTCGCACAATTGTTCCTTCGGTGTATGAAAGTCGAAAGTCCATTCGCTAGATAGCATCACGTTGAGGAGCAAGCCAGAACTTCATACGACGACGTCTCTCGCCGACTAGATAGGACAGGCTCGGATATCTAGAGCTCATCCATTGAATCAGCAGAATAGGGAATCGGGAAACATCTCGTTGTTCCTGGAATCGATCGTTCCGGCCTAAGGACATTGAGCCTCTGGCTCCTGCCGAGTTCTTCTAAGGGTTTCTCAAGAAGTCGGCGGTTCGCCGAAGAGATCTTGTTCGAAACGAGCTCATGGAGAAGGATCTCTCGACCGTTCAGTAGGAACCTCATTGGTTTATTCAGATTCAAATTTGTACAAGCATTCTCCAGGCATTCACCACCATCCAGACGAGGGCCATCCTCCGTAGGACACAGATTTGGGGCTCCATCCAGACGAGGGCCAGCCAGCGGCTAGAAATTCAAAATACTCAAATCATTCTGTGCTCTTCATGGGCCTGGCCTAGAGTCCAGAACACCAGCTCGCCAAATACTCACAAGAGGGCCATCCAGCCTTCCATCCAGAAGAAGAGGGCCATCCAGCCTTCCATCCAGAAGAAGAGGGCCATCCGGATTTCCAGCCAGAAGAAGGCCACCCACCCTTCCAGCCAGAAGAGGGCCACCCACCCTTCCAGCCAGAAGAGGGCCACCCACCCTTCCAGCCCGACGATCCGACGGATACTACCTTATATCCCCCGGAGGGCCATCCGGAAGACCATCCGCTGGACGGCCACGCGGCACCTGCCGAGACTGCCGCAACAAATGCACCGAGGAGAGCGAGAGCCAACTGAAGGAAATTGGGTTAATTCATTGAGATCGGTCGTTTGTCGTAATGGCTTGCCGTTCGGACCGTATAGGGAGATTCTACGGCGCGAAATATCGCCATGTCACCGAACTCGTGAAACTTGAGTCAACCCGCCGCAGAAAAGGAAAACACCCGGAAGGGGAAACCGGCGCTCGAGTCTCCCATATTTTTCGCTCGTACGGAGGACCGTGAGCAGAAAACCTGCTCCAAGAATTTCTCGGACAATTCGACTTCGCGAACTCTGAGAGCACCGGTCAACTCGAGACGATCCTCAAGGGAAGATCGACAACTCACCAGGACTTTCATATTGTATAGAGCTTCTGGTATTCTGGTTGAGAGCCGGTAGCGTGCGTGTTTTTAAACCAAAGCGAGACCTTCACCTTGCTTCTTCTTTCATCTCCGGTGGGCCTCAGCAAATTAACGTCACACGCTTCATCCTAGAGGCGTTATTGCTAGACTGGCCGGTCAATGAGTTCGTTGGGCTAATCTTGCTTTCCCTATCCGCTCGCGTGCCTGTAGGCGACAAATACATATCAGAAGCCAAGATTCTGAGCATCCTTCGACAACTTCGATTATCGCGTGGTGCTGCCACCGACTCGCGTTCAAGTGATCCTTTGCGAGCTGAACTTCAGTAATCCTGAGGTGATCTATATTTTCTTCCGGTCTCAAGGCAGCGAACCAGATTTGCGCATTGAATGTCACGGCTGAGACTTGCCGCCGTAAACAACATCCGAGTCGATCACAGCAAACTTTCTGGAAGTTCAATTTTGCTCAGAAAATCGACGACGGGATCCGGAAAGAAACGTAAGTACTCATCGATGCGCGGAGTATCTTCAGTGAGTTATACATTAGGCGTTCTGGAGTAAAACGGAGGGAAATCATCGGTCAGAATCTCCTCGCACCGCACACAATGCGGATCACCTATGGATGATGGATCGCCGTGAAAATTCTGTGCGCGGAAGATTTAGACGGAAAATGAGAACTCAATGATACACGGAAGTTTCATGGGTGGAATGGATCTGTTTGGGATCGAGAAAACCAGATGCCTAAACAGAAGAAGAGCAACATCAGATCATTTCGCACTGATAGCCCGTCAGCGGTTTTCTTTGCGGTAAAGACCAGTCCTCACGTGGGTGTATTGCTGCTCGAACAAATGGACGGCGAAGTCACCATCCATTTCGCTGCGACTTCCTCATTCGTTTAGACTCTTAATGCGAGCAGAAACGATGTTTTCTTCAGGCAGCCCTTCATTCGGTGAACGAAGGTGAATCGAAGGCATATTTAGGAAAATCGAAGTTGATCTTTTCCGCGCTCCTCCAAGGGAATGATTCGGCAATCCACTCGCTACGGCGCCGGCGGCGGCCGCGCGGGACCCGCAGCCGGCAAGTGGACTCGGAAGGAAAAACGTGGGGCCAAAACCATCCTGATCCGCTCTGATCAAACGTCGCGGACGGAGAAGGTGGGCTCTCTCGAGAAGGATAGGAATGGGGAAAAGGAAATCTTACGAGATTTCGTTTCTATGGCTTTCCTCGTCGCGCGTTATGTCGAATTGGCAAACCCGCCATGACATTTTTTCACCACCGGAATTCCGCGGGATTCTCATGGCAAATCTCCGGGGACATTGCTGAGCGTGTCGACGATGGCCTCCTTCTGGAGGTTTCGATACCCATCGATTCTCTTCACCATTGGGAAATCGATGTCCGCCGCGTGGATGCCTCGAAATCAAAAGAAAAGCAGAATATTTCGTCCAGGAGAGGGGAAAATCGTTTGAAACAGCGAAACAAAGAGTTTTGAAGAGATCGTTCACCCAAGAGCCGAAGGTAGCCAAGTTCATTAGGAGTGTGATCGCTTCAACCTTGCACGATCGTCTATGAGCACCGCGGGATCTCGTGAGAGTGCCCATTTACCATCGATTCCGCAATGATCATCAGAGAGGAAGTCTGCGAGATCTTCTGCAGTATTGCAGTATAATATATGTCTGCTGTTTTTCTGCATTAATTCGCCGCTTTTCGCAAGAACCACATGGGTCGAGCGTGTGATTATGGATTACCCAGGATGATCCTTCGAAATTCGCGGTCAGCTGTAGTCGGGGATGTGCTGGGAGCATTCCACGTCGAGACTCAATCCCGATTCTCCTCATTGGGCACAACGCGAATACATCAGATGTCTGTGGCCTCGAAGTCTGGAATCGAATGAGGAGCGAGGGATCCTGCGGGGAAAATCTGTCAGATGGGGCATTCCGAGAAAATGGGAGGGAGTTTGTATACGCATCAGGGTCGACATCGCCCCCGATTGCCACATCTTCTATCAGCGTGGGGATCCCTCTCTTTCAGTCCTCCCGTAGGAGACTATGATCTGCCCCGTGGTTTTCGATAAGAGGATAGACATGGATAACCGATCTGGAATTCCATCCGGGAACTTCGCCCTATGGTGAGCTCATCATAGGTCAAAAGAAATCATCATAGGTCATGAATACGACCCTCGTATCTAATGGCGAGATCGTTCAACGATCGGAACCATTCAGTTCCGCTGAACCAGAGGTGAATCGGGGAATGCTCCGCAGGGAAGAAGGTCCCAAGTTTTCCCTCAAAGTGGGAGGAACACGCGATCGGTAACCGCGAGGACGGGCGATCGCGCAGAACCGAGGTTCACCGGAATAATTCTCCTTGGTGACGTTGAAGGCCCCTCTTGTCTACGTTGGCACCGACGGCAGCGAGAATGGACTCAGGACCGACACAAACAGATTTCTCGAATTTATATCACACAGATAGCCCAAATGAGAGCGCTGGTACCGTGTTCGAGGAGAAGGAAAATCTTCTCCCCAGAGGTCAGTATTCGTCGAGTATATTAAGTCTGATAGATTTATCGCTAGACAGTGATTATCAGGGTTATCTCAGAGCAGGATGAGATAAAGAGTTTCAGTCGCTCGTAATCAGAGCACTCGAGTAGATAGACGCTCTGCGAGATTTAGAAGGCTTATTTCGAAATCGAGAGACATCCGCTGGATCGCAAGCCTCGGGAATCCTCCGTCGAGAAGAAAAAGTTGTTTCCGCTTCCACGGCGGAAGTCCCCACTCAGCTCATCTTGAACACGTTTCGCGTGAACACCAGAAGCGAATGGCTGAAAGCTTCGGCATGACGTTCAAATCGTCCAGAATAAAAATGCCGCTCGAGGGTTTGAAGGTGTCGGTGGCGCGGTTCTCGTGCTGCTGGTATCAGTCGCTTGATAATAGATGTCCACGAGGTTCGGAGCCGGCCTCGCTGTCCTGTCATTACACTATTTGACAAACGAAAATTATTGCTTTTTCTCCCGTGAGTTGGTGATTTTTCTGATCGTGGATGGTGATCCTGTGGTCTAGAATGAATTACAATCTTTTAATCGGTGAGCATCGCGAGTCGAAGTTCTTTCCGCAGCCAATCGTCCGGATCGAACTGGATCAGCCAGTCATCATGAAATCCTGCCGTAGCGAGACACCGTGAGCTGATCAGGTTGCGCAAAAATGAAGAGATCTCTCCCGTCTGTATTGCGATCGTAACACTGAGCTCGGTTTCGTAGCAACGACGGAATTTCGCCGCAAGAGCAGTCGAAGAACCCTGATATGCACAAAGAAGCATACTGAATCCCGAAATCCTCAGCTCGAGGGCTGAAAATGACCGTGCGTTCTGAAAACTCGGTGCGACGGATATATAATTTAGGCAGAATCTGGTGATATCGATCACCACCCTTAATTACTTCTGCTGGGGGCTTTCTTTTTACCGCGGTCTTGAAAAGTATTTCTGTACATCCATCGCCTGATTCGGACAGTGTCCGGGGTGTTAGCTCCGGGCGGTACTGTGGGCCTGATTAGCTTTCCTCCTCCTAAGCGCACGGATTGAGTCCCCAGAAAGTCGACGATGAAAGCTATTCGTAATTTCCGTCATTATGCATTGTCTTTCTTTCACGAGATGTTCCTTGCTTCATTTTCTGTGCTGGCGCTCACGCGGCTGTGAACAATTCATCAGCTGTCCCCAACAGCCACAATGAGCACAGAAAAGAGGAAATTGGGGAACACTTTCACTTCCTATTTATTGAAGTGAAGCTTTCAGAGCACAGAAATCGGGGTTTAAGAAGCAACCTTGCTTTCCATTCTACGGTACGCAGACGGCTCGCTAATTTAGGAATCCGAAATCTATTTATGTGACTCATCGTATCTCGCTGCATTCGACCAATTGAATTCGCGCCGGAGGAATCCTCTCTTGACATAGAAAAGGGCGGCCATCCTCAAGCTTCGAAGTTGCTCCCGCAACCGGACTCGAGTAGTCGGAGAAATGATCAAGACTTTTGGATTTATTCAATCTTTCGTGATACTTCAATTCAAGAGGTCTCGTCCCCTTCGACTCCAGCTCCACGAAACGGCATGACCTTTCAAAGGGTCAACTTCGAAAGAACTGCTCTCCTGATCTTTTTCCGGCTCCCATCCGTGTTGAGTCGTTCCCACTGTTAGCGATGCCGCCGTTGGTGTCTGTAACTCGTTGGTCTCCCAGACCAAATGCCCGTCCTCTTGAACCCAGCGTCCGCTGCGCGAGAAAGCCGGTCGGAGTCCTGTCGAATGTAGGAAAAATCGAGGGAGCGATCATGGAATGAGTCAAGCATTGCATTTTTGTTTCGAGGGCTCGACCGAGCGCGGATCCTCAGTAAATCGGTGAAAACGGCTTATTCCTACTCCAGACAGATATTACGATCATCGAATGACGGAATCGCAAGCAACAGTGGAGGAATTTAGGACGCTGAATTATTTTTCCATCGAACTTACCACTCCTCGCTGCCATGGGAAGCCATACGTCTCCGCCGACGGGCACCGTTTGCCAAGCGGGATCCTGGCCACCATATGTGAGCGGAGCCGACGAAGCTGGACTCGCTGGAGCCACCCATGTCACCGAGTACCCGCCGCTGCCACTGCCCCCAGACGACAGAGTCTGAATAGGAGCCGAGCGGCTCTGCCATCGGCTTCCGTGGGATGAACTTTTCCAGCCAGTAGCGGATGGGTTCCCTGAAGACACGGCTTTCCAACCGTCGCTTTTGAGCTCCACAGTTGGAGCCCAGCCGGACTTCGGTGAATTCGAAATCTGAGAAGTAGTGGCCGGCACGCCTCTCCAGCCCCCACTACTGCCCGATTGCCAGGCTTGGCCCCTGACCAATGCGAAGCAGCAGCCGATAAAGACAGTTTTCTGTGGAGGAATAGGTTCGTGTCATGTCACTGGCGTCTGACGATCCCTCGATGACTGGTAGAACAAAGGACACACGATTTGTGGATATGTGTGACGCGCTGTGAACGCGGTTCCGGATTTTGCG